AAACAAAGATTATCAGATAATTTAAAACAGTCCTGGTACTCTTCCCTGAGTAATTCTTCCAAATGCAACTATTATCAGTATTGTAAATCAGCGTTAAATGTTGAATGTTATTTATCCTTTAACCTTTCTACACATTTAAGAGCTGCATGTTTTAGCACAATTTAGGTGTAGTAATTTTAAAATAGCTGTAGAAACTGGCGTTATAACAACACTGATTATAATCAAAGATTTTGTATATCATGCAAATCTAAAGGTCTTACCTATATTGAAGATGAATTCCATGTACTGTTCATTTGTGAATCCTATTCACACCTAAGAGAGAGGTTTATTACAAAATGTGTTAAAAAGCCTTATACAGCATATTCTTTAGCAAATCTTTTCAAGAATACTAATGTAGACACTGTAAAATCTGTTGCCTTGTATCTATTTTATGTTAAAAGGATTATTATAAACACACATGAAAGCACATTGTGCCCCTGACTACACTGAAATTTCCTTTGAATGTATTTTGGGCCTATGGCCTTTTACTGCAAATAAACTCTGTCTGTGTCACTCTGTCTGTCTCTGTCACTAGTACTTCCTCCCCCAGGTTTCCTAACGGTAAGCAAAACTCACTGGCAAAAGAAACGTCACCAAAAATATGTTTCATTTTTTAACGTACCTTTGTATTTTTTTCAATAAAGAACGGGTTGAAACAACTTGCCCGAACGCAACCAACATACACTACGCATTGAACTGCACGAGATTCATGTGATTTGTGTGAAAATGTTAAATTTGCACGGAATTTTGCAAAATCCCTTCGTAAAAAAGCCGTATTGAATTCAGGTATAAAATGTGTAGAGAAATGATGCATTCCATTATCACATCGTATGGTACAAAGGAAACATGCCGAGGCTAACAACACAGCAGAGAGAACGACCTATTGGTATGCTGGATTTGGGAGCGACGCAGTCCCATGTTGCAAGGTTTATGAATTGTTCAAAGCGAACAATCCTATGATTGGTGAGACGGGTGTCACGTCCGCTTCTAAACCGTGACGTCATCCGCCCGAACTGCTCTTGGCCATCCAGTCAGCAGAAGGACCATTGCCAGACGTCTTCGACATCATTGTATCAGAGCCTATCGACCGCTGAAGGCTATGACGTTGACGCCTGAACATCGTCGTCAAAGACTGAGGTGGGCGAGAACTGTTGAGCGATGGCAGGCAAGAAACTGGTCCAGAGTGCTTTTTACCGATGATTTCAAGCCTTTTCCAAGTGTTTAAACCAGACGGTAGACAGCACGTATACCGAAGGCGGGGAGAACGTACACGACGTTGCTGCGTACAAGAGACCATCCACTATGGTGGTAGCAGCGTGATGGTCTGGGGAGGGATTTGTGGTGACATGAATACTGATCTTATTGTGATTCATGGTAATCTAACAGCTGCACGGTACATCAATGAAGTTTTAAGACCAGTCGTCGTGCCATTCATCCAGAATCACCACGTACCATGTTCCAACAAACGACAACGCCACACCTCATAAGGCACGCATCAGTGTGGACTTCTTTAATGCCCAGAATGTGACGTTACTTCCTTGGCCAGCTCGATCTCCCGACTTGTCCCTGATTGAGCACCTGTGGGACCACCTTGGACGACAAATCAACAAGCGACATCCACCCATACAGACGAGAGAGACGTTGGCACAGGCCCTCCAGGAAGAATGGCGGAGAATCCCGATCCATGCGATCAGACGACTGACATTATCCGCTAGACGTCGTGTTCATGCTTACATACAAGCCAGGGGTGACCACAGACGATATTGACTGTATTAAACAGTCTGTCTTCACTTTAGAGCCGCTTATGATGAAACAGATGGTGCTCGAATACCGGACAGTCAACTGTCCTCGATTCAATTGTACACTATGTGGTCATTCAAATCTGTAGTTCACACTTTCATCATTCAGAATGTTGTAAAACCATTAAATTTCCAAATATGACTGTTACATTTCCAAAATCTGAGTTTGTTCTTTTGTGACATGTTAAAAAGCGAGGTGACGTTTCTTTCGCCTGTGAGTTTATTTCCGAGTATCCTCTACTGTTTTGGAACAGTATAGTTTACACATTTATGAATATCTTTGATCGTGGAACAGTTGCTCCAGTGTACACATATTCCGAAAAATGAAAACGTGATCTTTATAGAACACACATTCATGCACATATAATCTCTCTACCTCTTACACACACGTACATATACATGCATACGTATACACACACACACTCTCTCTCTCTCTCTCTCAACCTCTTACACACATGTACATACACACATACGTATAAACACACACACACGCACAGTGTGTGACACACACACATACATACATACATAACACTCTTACACACACACACACATACATACGTACACACACACACACGTTCATATATACTCTCTCTCCTTCTTACACACACACATACATACATACATCTCATACATACATACATACATACATACATACATACATATATACATACATATACATAAAATGCATACATACGTACTATGCATGCATACGTACGTGCGTACTAAGTTTCAGCATCTCTAGAGCTGCACCACGAACAGGTAGCGATGTTGCTATCGATCCACAGCAACAGATGTCCAATAAATCCGTTAGAAACTGCTGAATACGGATATAGAAATATTCATACGTCACTCATGGTATATTGGCAACTGAATATTCCATATCATCGAATTACTCTTGATATTAGCGAATGTAATGGATTACGTTGGCAATCTATGTTCACGATAATAATCCAAGAGACGTAGTGAACAACAGCTATAGTTATTCTATGAGGTGGTGTATGTGAACGTGCGTGCCTGTACCAGCTCATGTTAGTGGGGGTGAGGGGGCGGTAATGGGGTGGCACATACCCGTGCTAGATCCGGACTGCACGGTTATTAAGTCACTAGTGAGTCCATGTCAAAAGGGTTTCGATTCTGCCACAGCAAACTGCACTGGCAACATCTGTCGGTTCCCCTGGACGACATCTGCACCCACTTTGCCCATCAGTTGAATTCATCTGTTAAGTATGAGACTTGATGAAGCTAACTAGACTTTGTCTAGGTCAGTGTGTATCAAACTGATAAGGTTTCCCCGTTGTGACGTGTTGATTGTACGCCGGAAGCAATTGATCAGCATTCCCTTCAATGAAAAGAGCCGCTATCGGAATATCACTGCAGGCTTCAGGCTAGACTGAGACAATTAACCTGATAGCATACTTTCTCGGGGAGAAAATAACATAATGAAACATATGAAACGCTTTCAAACATCTTGCCACTTCCTTTCTTATGTAACCATCACATTTATTCTTTCGTATGTTTGTGTTTTAATTAAATGAAATAATGAATGGAAAATATGGATTTTCCCAAAAGAATTGATGATAGTTTGATATTTTAATCCATTTCATTGTGTCGCATTGCCATGGCCATTGTGCATTCACAGAATAATATTAATAATCACCACCTTTCTTTCTACATGTGCGTATGTGCGTGTGTGTGCGAGCGTGCGTTTGTTAAAGGCAATCCACAAAGAGACCTTCCTTTCTAATCCATGTCGCCCTCACCACCATACGTTTCTTGTCTTCGCAGGAATACAGTTTCGGTCTGTAAATGACTTGGGCATAATAAATGACCTTCCCGTGCTGTTCGCCATCAATCCTTACGTGCACGAGCCAACCTATTTCATTCGTTTTTATTCACAATCCTTGATCCGCCGCTGCACTAAACAAGCAAAAGCAAACAATATTACCGCATAGTGCTGTTGGTCGAACTACTCGCATCGCTTTGAGAAATAACATTCAAAATTGGTGGTCCTGTACATAATGATTTTATACAAAGACATATCCCAGCTAATTACATGCACGGTTATATCCCAAAACTTCCACATCCCAATACTACCATACATTGTTAAAACAACTCCTCATCACCCCTTTCTAGGTGTATAGCCCAGGAAGTGCACTGAACTGAAACAACTGATAATGATACATCACCTGACTTAGCAGAGTAGAGATTTTAGTAGAGAAGAGAGTAGTTACTTAATAAATCTGAAATATATATAATATAAATTCGTCCATATTTCATGTAGGCAAAAACTGTACATTTTGTTTTCTTGTTTCACCTTCAAATGCTACTTTCATAGTATTCTGAATATACAAAACTTAAATTATGCAAGCAAAACGTACATTTAATGTACATGTATATTAAAATATGTAGTTTTACAATATAACATGGCTAGTTAGTTTTGAAATTGTATATTATTGTTTAAAAGGGGCCAACAAGCCAAACGATTCCATTAAATTCTGATTTGCAAACATAAAGTAAGATGTAGCAAAATCTTCAAAATGAGAATATGAATTGTATAATGGTAGTGACACAATATAGGTAGTGGCATTTTTAATAATAGCCAGTTTCATATGTTTACTGTAAAAGATAGTTTAATGAAATTTGTCAGTCAGATATTTCAGAATATGTAAAGAATATGTAATAGTCCCTGTCATGAAAACAGATAAAGACTAAGTGACACTGTGGCGGTATATAATGTCATCATCGTAATGGCCCTATCACAGCCGTGTTCTCCTACGCCAGACTCTTCAGGTGCATCAAGACAGAAGAACGTCAGAGACGGAACCGTCCGCTTGCTACTGTTATCTACAACAATAGTACAGGGTGACAGGGTAATGACTGTCAAACATGCGGGTGAAATCGTAGCCTCTGGTGTCGGTGATTTCCGTGGAAAACATTTCCGGGAACTACCGACAACATTTGTTGCGTTTTGGCGTTACACTATTTTTGCGTTCAGTGTTTCTCTCAACTATTTCAACGAATGACCACTGTGGTGAAGTGTATAATTGGATATACAAGCATATTTACATGGCATAAGAACGTATAAATCGTATGACTTGCAAGTGCGAGTTTTCCTTCATTCAAACTAATGTTCCTGGTTGAAGTCTGAAACATACCGCATAAACACGGCCTTGGTGACGTGTAGCAGCCATATTGGAATACTGCTGTTGACACGGGGTACTGACTCAGACGAAATTATTACCACCTAGGAAAGGTCCTCTGACATTTCAAAGGGTGTACTGATCACCATTTTACCCCAGAATGAGAGGCGTTACATACATATATTGCACTGTCGCTAGTTTGTTTTGGCTAAGCGAGGCATTCTATTTGCCGGGTCTTGCCCCTGTCACGTACTGTGAAGAATCTGAACGACCAGCAACTTGTAAGGTGAGTTGGATAGGAGAACGTTTTAGCAGTCTCACAGAATGGATAGTAGATTGACATCACTATTTAGGATTTCCGTATTTGTTGTTTTCCAACACTGTGCAAAGTTTGATGGAATTTATGCACTTTTGTGTACAGAATTATGAGAGTATGTGACGTGTCTGATGACATGAGCAAGTGCGAACAGCCTAAATATGTTTTTCAGAAATATGCGTGTATTTTCGAGGCTCAAAGTCATCTTAGCATATTTAAGATTTGTTGACATATTGCATGTACTGGCTCCAAACCTAGCATCAACTCGCATTAGTCTGTAGCCATGGGGACACAAAAACTACTATTTTCTATTCTCAGAGTTACCTTTATTGGGGCTACTTGAAAAAGACCACTGAAATACTAAGACTTAATACAAAGGTTATATTTTAGCCTGTATTCTACAGAGTATTAGCAAGCGGATTGGTGATATGAGATTGCTAATGAATTTGACTAGATGTAGAAATGCTGATGTCTCTCCTTTCGATTTGTTAGAGGATATGTTATGAATTAGGTGATGATATGGTCAAGTGGAATAATTTGTTGGTCAGTCTTAAAGGATATAGTCACAGGCACTCTACTGTTTCTGTTGACCAGGGGAAAAACATACACACGTTAAGATCCCTGTTTCAACTCACATTGGCTTGTAACTCTAAAAACTGCCATCAAGGTTTGTACTGTCACTAACAGGGTCTTGGCACTATATAAAATGAAAGGGATGTAACGAGGTCAACACACCAAGTTTGTTTCAGGGCGAATTCAACAATGCTCACTGTATTTATCCCATTTAAAGTATGCACACATTTCAAGCCAATAGATTTACCAACAAAATAAAACATTCAGCACAAAAATCGAAGCAGTAGTTTGGGAGCTAGGGTCTTCGGAAGCACGGAAAAAAGTAATTTTTCGATTCCGAGCCAAAATCCCTACTCAAAATTTGTAGCGGTTACTCACCCGTTTTTTTGTTTCTTTCACAGTATACACAAACGACATGCACCAAGGCATGCTGAACTGATGGCACCTGTCAGCACGCTAGTCGCCATTCTTTCGAAGACACTTACACCTCACTGTCATAATGAGTTTACGTAGATTTATTCATCGCAAACAGAATTGTCGTGCCCGTTCGCCATTGACGACCTTGGCCTTCACCTGCCCCGCACTGAACGGAGCAAGGAAGCTCATTGGCTATAAATAAAATGTGTCCCATCAGATCACTGACTCTTTCCAGTGAATTCGCCCAGAAACGAACTTGGTGTGTTGACCTCGTTACATCCCTTTCCTTTTATATAGTGCTAAGACCCCGTTAGTGACAGTACATACCTTGATGGCAGTTTTTAGCGTTACAAGCCCCTGTGTTTCAACTTGGACAGTGATACTGTTTAGGCAGCCAGTGTGCATTAAATTTTGATGTAGCTGTCTTGTGCAGGATGTAAATTTCAATTCAAGAAAGCCTTAACTCCAGTAGGTTGGTGATTCAGTGCTGTCCAAGATATTCCTGAACCAAATATGACACACAACTGCACTACCAATTTTTCCTTATCCTGACTCATGTTTAATTGCTTGTCTCCTTCTTCTTGCGAATGATAGTGGAACACTTGAATCCCATTTTGAAGCTCCCTTCAAAAAAGCGGACGTAAAATCACTCCCAGTGTTACCTCCCTTAGGTATTTTGGCGGGAAATCCATCAAATGACCAAACACGCTTCACTCTCCTTCTTCGCCCTAGACGACGGTTGTGAGAGCGCCTGGGTCCCCCTATACAGCGTTATATCCTTTTAAATATAGGCCTTTACCACTACATTAGCTGTATACGGCATTTAGGAAGATATACCTAAATATACGTCAGCACAAGACTTGACACGCAGAGGAAGACTACAAGTACAACTGCGCCCACTACAAGTGTTCGTGGACGCTCATCTAGACAGTCTGGACCGGATGGACTGAAACCATATCTTCTATGGTGGGCTCAGAAGACGTAATGTTTGTGGAGGAACCTACTTACCAGAGGCGGAGTGCAACACTCATCTCTACGTAGATGCATCACTTCAAGGATGGGGAGCCCACCTCGACAACGAAGTGGCAGCAGGGAAATGGTCGAGTCAGGAGCAGAGTCTGCACAGCAACATGCTCGAGATGAAAGCAGTAATATACGCCTTACTATACTGGTCCAGCATACTAAGGAACGCACAACTGATGATCCATACAGACAACTCCACAGTGGCGTTCTACATCAACAAACAAGGATCAACAAGGTCAAGGAATCTTCTAGACCTCAGCTTACATATGTTCAGCATAATAGACAACCTGAACATCGACATAAAAGCATGTCACATTCCTTAAGCCAAGAATGTGATAGCAGACACCCTATCTCGTCCAACACAACTATCCCCGACGGAATGGATGTTACATCCAGAAGCCTTCAGATGCATCATACAGAGGATAGGATCTCCGCTGCAAGACCTGTTTGCTACAAAGCTCAACAAACAACTACAAACATTCGTCTCTCCGGTTCCGGATCCACAAGCATTGGCAACAGATGCTCTAAACATCTCCTGGGAAGGACTAAACGCTTACGCATTTCCACCTCCAGCTCTTATACTGCAGGTGTTGCAGAAAATCAAGCAGACGAAGAAGCTGCAACTGATTTTGGTCGCGCCCTACTGGCCAGCGAGGGTGTGGTTTCCTATCCTCAGTCCATCCCTTCAACTCCCAGAGTGGCCGAACCTACTGATTCATCCGCACACCAAGCAAGTACACAGGAATCCAACAGTATTCCAGTTACACGCTTGGAACGTATCAAGACTTACTTGAAGAAAAGAAGATATTTTTCCAGAGCAGCGAAAGCAGTCACACTAGCTCTACGTAGATCAACCCGCAACTTGTACGACGAGAAGTGGCAGAGTTTTGAGAAATATGCCTTGAGGAAGGGCTTCACGGCAATGAAAGCAACACATCCTCAAGTGGCGGAATACCTTTGTCATCTAAGACAAACGAGGCGGTTAAAAGGTTCAACACTCTCTACATACCTAGCGGCCCTAAGCACGGTTATCACCATGAAGACGGGTGTTAAGTTGACCAAAGTACCAGAGATACTGGCTCTACTACGCTCCTTTAAATTGGAAGACCAACAAAAGAAATTTAAAGCGCCAGCTTGGGATCTCAACATTCTTGCAGCATCTCACCAGTGAAGCTTACAAACCACTAGAAAGAACATCCTACGAGTTTTTAACACACAAAACTCTGTTCCTGATCGCTTTGGCAACAGCAGCTCGGATGTCGGAAATACATGCTCTAGATTTTGAACGAATACGATTTGATGCACATCGCAACATCATACATCTGGGATTGAGATGCGACTTCATAGCAAAGAACCAACTGCCCGGTCAACCAGACAGTTCCACATCCCAGCACTCTGGACAGTCCTTGGGCCACAGGATACTACAGGACCTACCCTTATTCCCAGTCAGAGCATTGAAAGGCTACCTACAAAGGTCTAAGTCGAGGAGACGAAAATTCAAGCGCCTTTTCTTCCCTTTATCTACGGAGACACCAGGTGTGCGAGAAAGGACAGACAGCACAGCACAGGCTAATTAATCAATAACTTGGTGGGCACTTGTGCACATGCTTCTGTAACACCTGGCTGTCCCTTTCTCTGCACTCCTCCCTCGTAACAAATAGTGAACTGTGTCAAAATTTTAATGATAGTTTCTTAAAGAACCTTTTTGGTGGAGTCCGGAAAATTTTCAAATATAAGAAAGCTGTTGGGTATTAGTAAATGATAAACATGTGTACTATTTATATTTATGTGACAATTATGTACAATGATAAAATTTGCAATTCATCGGTCCGTTTCTGACTCAAACGGACTGTAGGACAGGCCAGCATGAGTGACAGACCCTGTACTTGTAAAGGACTTACTCGTACATGAAGAAGGGTCGCTTCTCCACTTTATGCGAGCATCAAGACGGAGTCATATAAATCCACACATAATGTCAGGAGAAGACGGTTCCAGAGAAATCTGACAAGTTGTGGTCCCCCCAGACTCATAAGAGGAAGCTGGAAGAAAGGATCAGCACAGTGCCATAAGAAGTTCCCTCAGGGGGGTATGCAGGACGTAAATCAGCAAGCTATGAATCCAGAGTGGCTTGACCCACCACCGGTTCTGTCGGATTCTACAAGCAAATAGCATGAGTCAGGATAAGGAAAAATATGTAATTTGTTTAGTAAAATTGATATTGTATACTTATCCTGACTCATGAGGTCAGCCCTCCCAACTTCCCCTCATGGCAATCTGGATTCCCTCTAATCCGGGTGTCAGGCTTATATTCGGAGAGAGTGAGGAGCATGTTGGGTCATGTGACGGATTTCCCGCCAAAATACCTAAGGGAGGTAACACTGGGTGAGTGATTTTACGTCCGCTTTATTGAAAGGTGCTTCAAAAGGGGATTCAAGTGTTCCACTATCATCACGCAAGAAGGTGAGGTGAGGTGAAATTGGGTTTTACGTCGTGCTTGAGAATATTTTGCTCATATGAGGACGTGCATGCGTGTGTATGTGTATGTGCAGCTGCTTGTACTAGCCCAGACTGAAGCTGGTTTTATAGTGCTAGCTCACTGAGATACCATGCCGCAGTGAAGCATGAATACCCCACTCAGACACATTATACTGACTCCGAGCCGACCAGTCCTTGTTGTACCCATTAATGCCGAGCGCAAGGCAGGGACCAGCAAGTACCATATTTTAACGTCTTTTGGTTTGACGCGGTCGGGGATCGAACCCGTGACCTTCCGCTCTCCGGGCAGATCGCAAGAAGGAGACAAGCAATTAAGCATGAGTCAGGATAAGTATAAAATATCAATTTTAATCAAAAAAATACATTTCGCTTCTGATAACATTTTTATAATCCACTTCGTCTTTCTCTTCCAGTCCAAGGTCCCAGTCTTTGTGAACCGCCTTAATTCTTTGGAAACAGTTGTGCCTTATGAGTACCAGAGGTAAGTGATGGTTGCTGTGTAACAGTGCACAAGTCATCTGTCATGCATCATGTGTTGAGCCTCTTGTGTTTGTGTGTGGCACTATTGTACAGTTGCTATTGTGTGAGAAATGGATAATATTTTGCTTTTTCTTCAGTCCAGTAACCATGGTTACAATTCAGTGTCTGAACATGCTGTGTATAAGTTCTCCTGATGTTCACACTGATCTTATGTAATTCTTGAAACTATGTTTACTTGTGCTGTGATGCTTGAGTTGTCAATAGATCAACCAACCAGAAAATACATTATTTTCTCATAAGTCTGAAAAGACAGGCTAATCATGCTCATAGTTATGTTTTCAAGACATTAGCTGATATTTTGTAGACAATCCCTATTATGCTTGTTAAAATATTCTTTGTACAACACAGAGGTACACATAAGCTGTGTAAATGCGTAAATTATGCAAATATTTATGTGAAAACTCAATTCCTATTAAGTCTATTGCGTACAAGTTCGCTTGAATTTTTGTAAATACTCAATAAATGTGATCTTATATGCGTACACACAAAAATGTCAAATCTTAGCTTGCGTACCGGTGCATAGATAAAATAACTGAGGTATATTGAGAGGTTCTATTTCAGGACATGAACTTGACAACTTGCAGTCTTTCTTATCGTTTCTCATATTACCGATCAAATATAAATAACAAACACTAACATTTAAACTTTATATTTTTAAAATTAATGGAAAATGGCAAAATATCCAATTGAGTTTGAGTGAGGTGACAACAGTATTGTTTCAATGTGTTTTGTTTCAGTTTTGACTTCTGTGTTGATGACAAACCATCATCTCCAGTCGAGAACTTAGGACAGGTGGTGTTTGGGGAGAGGATAAGCTCATCTCCTTACTCAGTAAGTTAACATCTCATTACTAGACTATAGTAACCAGTTGATAATGTCCAGTGCTTTGTCTACACAAGCACCAGTTCATAATGTGTACAATATTGTCAACACAACTACCCAGTCATGTATAGTGCTCTAGAAAAATAATCTCTCCTTCATAATGTGCAGTGTCCTGTCAAAACAAGCTCAAGTTTGATATACAGTGCCTTGACAAAACATACTCATTTTTAATCTGCAGTGCCATCTACGGATGGCTAAAAAGCTAGAAAATCGGAAATCTCATCAATGGGAAATATCATTTATGATTATTGATATAAGATTTCTTATCGAGAAATTCCTGTTAGAATTAATCATCAGTATCCCATGCATGTAGCAAGAGGTGACAAACGGAATTGGGTAGTCAATCTCGCTGGTTGACACGTCACTGTATCCCAATTGCTTAAATTGATGCTCATGCTGTTGATCACTGTGTTGTCTTGTCCAGATTTGATGATTTACAGACCCCTGCCATATAACTGGAATATTGCTGAGTGTGGCATTGAACTAATCTCACTCCCTTATTGAGAATATGATACAAAATACTACAATAACTCTTGTGATGAAATAAAGTTTAAATTTACACTGTTGGGTCTTCTTGTTCTGCTATTGAACTGTGTTCAGGATTGTTTTGTTAGTAATCCAAGCCTAAATATGTCTCCACTCTCCAGAGATGTGAAATATTTTGATTGCTTTCAGGTGTTTGTGGCATGTTGGCTTATAGTTCAATATTCAGTTATTGATTATTGATCTCTGATCGGCCATTGATAGCCAATACTCATTCCTTGTTAAAACAAGCACCAATGTGAGAATATGTGGTTCATTGAAGTACAATGTCTATTCAGTCGAGGGACATGAATCGCATATTGGGAAGTTTGAGTTTTTACTACATATTTCTAATATAAATATGCTTTCCCATATTTAATCTTAATTTGGAAAAGTTTCAATAGTTAAGATGCAATCATGTTCACATCTTGCTGTGATTTCAGGTTACTTAAGCAGGGCTCAGTGCATTTTTAAGATGAATATTACTGTGTGTTATTGTATACGGAGTTCATATAGGGGTAGTCTAGTGGTTAAAGCGGTCACTCGTCATGCTGAAGACCAAGGTTTGATTCCCCACATGGGTACAATGCGTGTCCCCCACCATGATGTTGCTGGAATATTGTTAAAAGGGGTGTAAACCTAAACACATTCATTCACTTGCTCCTATGCACAGTTTTGCTTTACTATCTACATGAATTCTCCTGATGATTGTTTCAGTTTACTTTTAAGAAGAATGTGACATGCCAGTCTGTGTGTAGCAAGGAGTACAAGAAGGGGGATCAGGCGTCAGTGAAGAAGCTCAACTTCCTGCGCCGTGGTATTGCCCTCAACTACATGCATCACTGGATTGTGGACAACATGCCCATCACCTGGTGCTACATCGTAGAGAACAATAAGAGCTACTGTTCAACCGGATTTCCAATTGGCTGCTTTGTCACCTCCCAGGGAAGACAGAAGGATGCATGTGTCATGAAGGTATTAGATGCGTTATTTGTTATTTCTTTTAACAAAACATCTCACACCTCTTCATTGAAGTGTTAATGCCTACTTGTTTATAATTCAATTCAAATTGAAATTTATATAGCCTGGTAACCAAAATGTCTAAAATGAGAGCCAACCAAGGCAGATTTCAATTTTCATTTATAATGTCTTGATCTGGTAACAACCTACATGAAATATATGAAACTATTTAAGGAAGTTTGAGAAACATTGTGTTTACTTTGGTAAACTGTGTTGACACTTACAGTTGTTTTGATCTTCATTTTATATTACTTCATAGCTCTATTAGAATTGACCCGTGAAGATCCGGGTTAGAATATTGATCTTCAGTAACCCGTGAAGATCCGGGAAAATATGTTGATCTTCAGTAACCCATGCTTGTCGTAAGAGGCGACTAAAGGGATCGGGTGGTCAGGCTCGCTGACTTGGACACATGTCATTTGTTCCCAATTGCGCAGATCGATGCTCATGCTGTTGATCACTGAATTGTCTGGTCCAGACTCTATTTACAGACCGCCGCCATATAGCTGGAATATTGCTGAGTAAAACTGAACTCACTCTATTAGAATTTGAATATAATGCAAAGTAGGTCATGTGTTAGTATTGCAAATGTTGTGATTAATCAAATGTGTCCTTTTACTTCCAGGCTGATTTCAAGGATGCCAACACTTACTATGTGTTTAACCATGTTGACATCACCATTGAGTACCATTCTGGCACTAATGAAGAATGGGGTGTTGATCTTGGTGACAAGGGTGGGCGCATTGTCAGGGCTAAGCTGGAACCCAGAAGGTATGTACTGCCTCACACAGCTAGGCAACAGGTTTAATGGTCATGTCTTGTAGGCTTGGCTAATAATTGTCCAAAGGTGAAGACTAAAAATGATCATGTCTCAGTCAGACACCTTTGTAACTGACAACTGGCTCTTGGCAAGATGTATTGCAGGGATGGCAATTTTCTGCCAATTATATTTCAAAATCATCCCCCATTCGATGACACAATATTAAGATTTCCGCTGAAAATAGACTTTCCTGTTGCCATCGCTGGTATTGTGATGTCAATAGAATTCTTGTATTGATTTACTCTGTGTGCTCACTAATTAAACCATTCTTGACACTTTCAGTATCTTGCACAACAAGAAGGGCGCAGAAGCTTGTGCAGGGAATGCTCCAGTGAAAGGCGTCAAGGGAGGCGACATGTCCGACAATATCAAAATTGACTACACCTACTCCGTTTACTGGGTGGTAAGGTTCATTATATGGCTACTTCCTGATAGAATACCTTGGTAATTACAGCTGTGCTAAAGGTATGATGGTGTGACTGTTCGCTGGCTAATGCCCATGGCTTTGTCCCTCAAGATCAGTTAGTGACCTCTCAGAGGTTTTTGAACGCATTCTATTTTCCAAGAAAGATATATGAAGGATCTGTGGGACATTCGGAAGCATGTGAAAAGTGAAGCAATCTGAGTAGTGATGATTGATATATTCTTTGTTTGCCAGGAAAACAAACAGATCAAATGGTCGTCCAGATGGGACTACATTCTGGAGTCTATTCCCCACACAAACATCCAGTGGTTCAGGTACCTGTTCTTGTTTATATTGTTGCCCAAATAAGCATTGATACTTTGGCATTATAAGTTTCATATGTTTGGAAATTCAGTACTCTGTTACACAGGGGCTTGTAACGCTAAAAACTGCCATCAAGGTATATATTGTCACTGACGGGGTCTTAGTACTATATAAAAGGAAAGGGATGTAACGATGTCAATACACTATGTTCGTTTCAGGGCGAATTCAACAATACTCACTGTATTTATCCCATTTAAAGTATGCACACATTTCAAGCCAATAGATTTACCTACAAAATGAGACATACAGAACAAAAATCGAAGCAGTACTTTCGGAGCTAGCGTCTTCGGAAGCTCGAAAATTGTGATTTCTCGATTCCGAGCCAAAATCCCTGCTCAGAATTTGTAGCAGTTACTCACCCAGTTTCTTGTTTATTCCACAGTATACACAAACGACATGCACCAAAACATGTTGAACTGATGGCGCCTGACAGCGCGCCTAGTTGCCATTCTTTCGGAGACTTACATCTCACTGTCATAATGAGTTTACGTGCATTTATTTATCGCAAACAGAATTTTGTCATGCCCGTTCGCCATTGAATACCTTGGCCTTAACCTGCCCGCATTGAAGAGAGTCAGCGATTTGATGGGACATAATTTATTTTTAGCCAATGAGCTCCTTTGCTCTTAGGTGCGGGGCAGGTGAACGCCAAGGTTGTCAATGGTGAACGGGCATGACACAATTCTGTGCCTACTACAGACAAGAAATCTAGAGAAGATTAAGCTTGTCACACATAACTGATCTTACACAACTATGCTCAACGGGCTGGGCTGCTGAACACAAATACTCTCCACAGAAATAATGCTATACTTGTCATAAATATATTTACCCTATGCTCGTACCTTTCTTCTCCGTGCTTCTAATGGACAACCGTGTTTCGGACATTCAACTGAAACTTGCATGTGCAGACACTTGCCTACTGCCACATTCACATGTATGACATAAGGAAAGTGACTGTCTTTGTGTGACTAAACGTGAAAGGCCTTTGTCCTTGTGCTATAAGTTAAGCTGGGGAGGTGGCGTAACCTATTTGTTAAAGCGTCCGCTAGTCACGTCAAAACCCGGGTTCGATTCCCCACATGGGTACAATGTGTGAAACTCAAATCTGGTTTCCCTCTGCAAGATATTGCTGGAATACTGCTAATATGGCCGTAACACTATATTAGTAGTTATGCCTTTTTTAGGCATCCCTACATCCATATACTTATGGAGCAAATCCCCATTTGTTACTTTCAGGGATATATGGAACAGTTGATACCATTACCTACTCTGTACTAAAACAGTGTGCTTATGTCTGTAGCATTATGAACTCGTTGGTGATTGTACTCTTCCTGTCTGGTATGGTGGCCATGATCATGCTGAGAACTCTCCACAAGGACATCGCAAGATACAACCAGATGGATAGCTCGGTATGTCCTTGTTTTCCATATTGACGGTGTGATAAACATGTCTATGACAGGCTTCTTTGACCATCCCATTGCTGTTGTACTGCTTCTAGAGGGAGCGGTGGAATAGCCTAGCGGTTAAAGAGTTCGCGCTGCTCATCACGCCCGGGACATGGTTTCAATCCCTTCATGGGTACAATGTGTAAAACCCATTTCTTGTGTACCCCACCATGATATTGCAGGAATATTGCTAAATGCAGGGTGAAACTTCACTCACTCAAGCTTGTAGCTTTTATCATCCAGCCATATCCATAACACATTGATTATGTTTCATGATGACTATTACAGGAAGATGCTCAGGAAGAATTTGGGTGGAAGCTTGTTCATGGAGATGTTTTCCGCCCCCCACGTCAGGGAATGCTTCTTGCAGTCTTCACAGGCAATGGTGCTCAACTCTTCTGTATGACGTTCATTACACTGGGTAGGTCATCCTCACAGCAGCTTGTTACTGTCCCCGCCAAAACGTATAATAATAATCAGATTCTGATTAAGCGCTGCAAGCAATTACTTTGTGTTTGGAGACTGTGCGCTATAGAAGATGACTTATTATTATGTATTCAGCAGCATCCGTCCGTATGTACGTCCCGATTCTTGTTAGCGAGATATCTCATGAACTGTTGTACCCAATGTCTTCAAATTTAGTGAGTGCCTACATTGGGAGATTACGCATACACCAGTCAATTTGGGTGACCTTGACCTTATCTTCAAGGTCACCACACTTTGACCACTTTTCAAACTTTGACCACTTTTCATAAACACAATATCTCATAAAACATTGCACCCAATGTCTTCAGTTATGTTCACAGCCTACGTTGGGTGAATGTGCAGGCACCAGTCATTTCAGGAATCTTGTATGTGACCAAAACAAATAAAAAGTAGTAAAATGTTATATATACTGTATTTCATTCTTCTGTAGTGGTGGGGGACATTGCCACATTATTGGCAAACACTTGTGTATAATGTTGTATGCTGGAGATTGTACAGTTGAGTAAAACATTCCCCTTGTACTTGCAGTGTTCGCCTGCCTTGGTTTCTTGTCTCCTGCCAATAGAGGTGCTCTCATGACTTGTGCTATGGTGAGTACCAAGATTGGGCAGGCATAGCTTGTGATTGCGCTCCAAAGTATACAAGCAAGTTTATACCATCTATTAACTGTTTGCAGACACATAAACTCTGAAACATTGCTATATCCCGTAGTATAAATATTCAGCATGCTCTACAAGGTAACCATGTGTGTTGCAGGTGCTGTATGTCTGCCTTGGGACACCAGCTGGCTACATCTCTGCCAGGATCTACAAAAGTAAGTAAACTACCCTTGGAAGATACAATCTGTTATAAAAGAAACACTTCTGCCTTTACTTGATTGCAAGAAACATTCATCATTGCTGGTACAGCTGTAATGTTCACTTATTTGAAATTCCTCTGTATCTGCACTGATATGAGAACCGGTTCCATGCATGTTTTTGAAACTGTGGTGTAAATGTGAATCCATTCCTTGCTGCTTCAGTGTTTGGAGGAGAGAAGTGGAAGTCCAATGTGTTGCTCACATCCTTTTTTGTCCCTGGGTAAGTGGGTGTTATTAGTCACTAGCTTTTCACCATTTAACTATGTTTATGACAAACAGCAACATGCATGAAAATATATACCTTGATTTTACATCCTGATTTAATACAAAGATGTATTTCTTGTATTATATGTATAATCAGAAGTGATTATGTACTTGTGTTTTTACAGTGTGATATTCGGTATCTTCTTCATACTGAACCTTATTCTGTGGATCAAGGGTAGCAGTGCTGCCATTCCCTTCACCACCCTTCTTGCACTGTTGGCTCTCTGGTTTGGTATCTCTGTGCCACTCACCTTTGTCGGAGCGTACTTCGGCTTCAAGAAAAGGGTAAGCTTTATCATATTAATAGTAGTTTGTACAAAACCAGTTCAAATGGATGTGACATGTACCAAGAGTTAAATATACTCATTCTAAAAGGTCTATCATGGGTCTTCATTAGCATTATTTCTGTGGAGAGTATTTCTTAATCTTTTTTTCATTGGTATTGTAGCCCATTGAGCATCCAGTTCGCACCAATCAAATTCCCCGTCAAATCCCAGACCAGACCTGCTACACGAAGGCCCTGCCTGGGATCCTCATGGGTGGAATCTTGCCTTTCGGCTGTATCTTCATCCAACTGTTCTTCATCCTCAACAGTATCTGGTAAGTCATGCTGCAGTGTTGCTGTTTTTGAGCAGTTTAAACAACATCAGGTGTAAGACTGACCATATTCTTGTTTTTCATCTTGATCAGATTTCATAAGAATACATTATTCAATGGTTATTGCATACTTTAGCATCTATGGTTTGGCACAGTTTGAAATTGCATTAACCACTTAAGACAAAACTAAAGCTTGCATATTCACTGTTACTTGCACATTAGAGTGTACAAAATCTATAGCATCGTTGGGTAGAAGTGAAAAATGACATTTGGACTATTTTTTCATGAGGTAAATTGTATGGAATTAAGCGCTATATAAGCAACCTTATTATAAATCCTTGTTTGTCACAGGTCCCACCAGACCTACTACATGTTTGGTTTCCTCTGCCTGGTGTTCATCATCCTCATCGTCACCTGTTCAGAAGCCACTGTCCTTCTGTGTTATTTCCATCTGTGTGCAGAGGTAAATAGAACAATCTGCTTTCACAAAGAACCTCACCTGTTACTAAATTGAGGGTTTCATTTCTTGAATTGCTATGTTGTTGCCTGAGTGTCAGATGTAACTTGTAGAACACAATGTACCTTGACACTCATCATCTTGAGTTGTCCTGGTTGTGATGCCTTTCAGCTGATTCAGTCAATTCCCCAGCAAAACAAGTAGCAATGAAGATTCTTGAAGAATTGGTTTTGTTTTGCAAACTTGCAATAAACATTAAGAAAGCTGTGTAGACATTAGACGTGTGTATATGTCAGTTCCTCGTGACCTTTGGAAAGTAATTTTCAATCTGATTCCAGGACTACCACTGGTGGTGGCGGTCGTTCCTGACAAGTGGTTTCACGGCAGTGTATTTCTTCATCTACTGCATCCACTACTATGTGTCAAAGCTGGAGATGGTGGGGGCAGCCAGTATGATTCTCTACTTTGGATACACTGTCATCATCGTATTTTGCTTTTTCTTGCTCACAGGTGAGGTGATATTGACCAGTAAAGTACTGCATTAAAATATCTCAGCTGATTTTTGTGATTTGATTTTTCGATGAATGAAATGTTTCTATGTCAGTTCCTGATGACATGATAAAGTAGTGCCACAACACATTTGTCTGTGTCGGCAATGGGATTTGGCTCGATTTTGTAATTAGGAAATTGTTACTGTGAGAAACTCCATGGAGGACATAATGTGTTGATGGAATGCACAAGTATTGTTTAGAATGAATGTAGTAATTTACTTTGTGAAACTGGCACAGAATGAAGACGATGCATTTTTTGAGAGAGTTACCAAAGTGTTAGTATGAAAAGGGTATTTGATATGACTAGTGTTAAAGGTACTCTGGTTATGAGTTGATTCTAATTTGAGGTAGCTGTCTGTAATTTTTGGTAAGATGGAATATTTATTTCATATTAATAACTGCTTAAGGCTTCTTTCATTGTCCAGAATATGCCATTTTGTCAATGCACTTCTTATTTGCAAATGTTGTAGTGTCAAATAAAGGCATTAATTGCTAAGTTACTTTGTATTGAAGTTGCTAATACTATTAACAGAAACATAATTTTATGTGTTGCAGGTTCAATTGGTTTCTTCTCATGTTTCTGGTTTGTGACAAAGATCTACAGTGTGGTAAAGGTGGATTAAGCCTTTAGCAGTCCACGTGGGAAGGGAACCTGATGAGAGGGACTACCTTTGGGATTACATCACTTCATGCCTGTCACGAGTGCAGAACACAAGCAGTAGAACCATTGTGCACAAAACAACTATGGAAAGTCATAGTGCATGGAAAAAACTGATTTAGACTGAGTAAATGAAGATGAACCTAGCCCTCTGAAATACATGAGCAGCAAGTCTGAGAGGACCATGCATATCAGGCAGTGTTGAGGCTTAGTGCATCTGTGGGACAAGTGACAGTGTGGTTCATGTATGCATAATTTATATTCACCATATTTTTTTTAGCCATCATGTGTACATACTATATGTAGCAACTACTCGGGGCTTCATACTGAGTTTTCTTCCTGAGTTGCCTTGCAAATTAATGAGTAGACAGCTTGACTGAGAATTTTCTGAAAGTCCCATTGTGATTGCCAATGTTTATTTGGAGACTGTTTATACTGAGTGGATGAACAAGTAGCAACATTTTGTGCAGATCCAAGATTACTTCAGTGCACATACAGACTAACCCAGTTAGTGGAGAGCACTCGGCATAGTCAATACATTCAAATAAGGTGATGTTCGTGATCCAAGACTATCGCACACAGATATAACTAATATCCAAATGGAACTTGGGGCTCAACATTTAGTAGTTCTTGTTGAGTTCAAAGGCTTAAAGTGTACAGTTTAGTTTAAAAAATCAAATATTCTCTTTGATGAAGAAAGCTATGTATGTATGCAAAACTAGCCAAATACTGTTTTGGAATATTTTATGAATATTATCTTTGAAACCAGTTGTCTGAAATAGAGATAAACAGAAAGAGACACAGCAACTCCACAGATAGGTTCATTGGGAGCAGTATGCATGTGAAAACAACTTGTTAAACTATACATGTGCTAGGTTTTTGTAAACCGACTCTGATGTGTCAATACCTGTAATGTGGTGCCTGATAAACTATTTCCCGACAGATGTGTGATGCCCTATATGTCATACCACACTAATGGCCAGATAGGTTATCCATCAATGGGAGCTCTATCCTTGTCTTGCCATGCTGGAGATACCAGAATTGTGGCAAGCCAGACACCATTCCTTCTTGGCAAGAATAACCCATCTCCTTGCTTATCAAGTCAAACAGAGGGGGATCTCATGATGTCGGAGCTTGAAGTAACTCTTGCTTCTTACTGACCAGTTAGTGTCTGCACATCTGTTGGTTAATGTACTGTATTGTTCATGTTATATAAATCTGTATATATTCATTAGACTTGTACATCTACTGAGAGTTATTTGTAAATTTTGCGTTATTTTGTTATTGAAGAAATCTATTCATGTGTCATGTGTACAAAATATGCCATCCAAGACACCCATTGTTAAGAGTAAATGTTTTATTGAAGTCCATAACGACAATGTGCAAACCATAAGTTGAGTCACACTACTCACATTCTGCAATACAACTTTACTAAATAACATGGTCCAGATTTTATGTTGGGTATTATCTGTTAAGTATTATATTTGAGACACTTCGGGTTTTAATTTAGTTATTTTTTTAACAAACTGAATCATTGTGAAGTTGAATTACATGAGTGTGCATTACAATATCATTGTCCATTGCTTCTATCACTTGAATGAGTTGTGTACAGGCTGTTAAAATCATTGTACGCATGTGGCTTAATATACAGCAAGTTTAATGCTTTGGGACCTGATTACATGGATAAATTATGGGTATATATTTTTCTTGTTGATATTGCAATGAGTGAAGGTGACTGTGATTTGACTGATATGTAAATATATGCACATGTTACATCAAATCTCTGGTGTGGACAACTTTTTATATGTGGGAGAATAACACTGGTAATAAACTTGGACTAACATTCATTTTCGTGATGTCTTTTGTCTCACTTCCATTAAAGATGTGACATCTTTGAAACAACCTTATCTTGTTATACATATTGAGAATTATGTCTTCTTTAGTCTTCCCACACGTTTGTCCAATGCTTAAATGTCTTGCACCATTTTTACATCTTGAACAAGCAGAGGGGAACAAGCATGTAGATATACCTGCACCAAGTTCATGTGTATGAATAAAAGATATGCTCTGTTCCCTATAAAGATGTTGACCGCTACCCAAGCCATAACAGATCAAACCACCACCACCACAGGGTCAAGGATTGCCTGGGTGCTACACCATTTTCAGAAGATCCTGTCTGCTGTCAAGACCACTGGGTCACAACATAGTTATGCACTTGCGCAGGTTGAGAACCTCAAGAATTTTCTTGTATTTGAGTATTTACAGACCGCCGCCATATAGCTGGAATATTGCTGAGTATGGGGTAAAACTAAACTCACTCACTCATTCTTGTATTTGAGTAGGATCAGTCATATTATTTCTGGACTTGGAAATCACAAAGGGTAATTAAGTGAGTGCTGCTTTCAACCATGTTTGACTGTCCACTTCCATAAATTTGAGACCCCATGGCCAAGTCACTGTTCAGGTACAATGCAGGGTGGCAAGGCCCATTTGCACAGATCAATCTTAGTTACAATCAATCTTAGGGCCATACAATTACCCGAATCCACTTGCACAAGGCCGATCTTAGTGCAATTGTAAGATGGCATGTATTTAAGATCGCGATCTTAGCTAAGATCAAACTCTTCAACGGTGGAGGTACGAATTTCTTAAACTTGACTCCTGTCTACAGCAGTTGACTTCAAGTGTGCATGCTGCGCAATGAAAATTGCGCAAACAGAAAGTGATACTGATCCCTGCACACAATACATACCTCCCATAAGTTTCATGAAAATTTCCCAGAACTTTTTATTGGAAACGAATGATATAACACATAATGTATGATTTGTCAATGAGACCTTGTTCGGACCAAATAAAAACGCAGCTATTTGGGGAAATCCTAAATATATCCATTTTTAGCGAAAGTAATGGCTTTCTTACAATAAGAAAATGAGATGTGGCTACAGAAGTGTTGTAAAGAATGCATATTTCCATACTTTTTGGGAAATAGTCAAATATTAAATAATATTTCGAGAGAGCAGTTGTCAAATATATATTGAAATCAAAGAGCCTTATAAGCAGAGTGTAGTGAAAAGCCGTCGTTAGAAACCAATCTTTATCCAATAAAATCACTTCTTACAAATGTGAAAAATACTCGGCAAGAGTACAGTGATATTGTTGATGTTCAGAGCTTTTCTAACGATACCGCCATCAAACGATTCGCTTCTATGTAAGTGACACGTGCCACTCACTAATTAACAAGAAACTGATTGACACTTCCCGCTTCTGAATAATCTCGGGGAGTCAATACCGCTAATCAACAAAATGTAAACACTTGCTTGTTTATACAGTCAAACTGCCCACTACATGTATTAATTACTCAGGTAAGTGTTACGCACTCACTCACTGATTAACAAGATACTGATTAACACTTCCCCGCTTCTGAACAATCTCGAGTCACAGCTAATTGTGTTGTTACATCATTTGGACCTAATTGCATCAAAGGGTTTACCGCTCTTTCATGTGCCGGTTTTACAGATTGGTTTTCATAACAACTTTATTCATGATATAACCCTATTATGCTGATAAGTATTTCTCTAAAAGTGAAATTCTTTTGAAACATAAATTTTTAATGCCTCATGTGTATGTCCCTATTTGATGAATACTTGTATATATTTAAAATGCATACTCAATTTGATTTTTCATGTTAACTTGTATCTAATTGTAGATTTCTTTAATGATGAACTAAGACAAAATCACTCCATGACCAAAAAGAAATATAAGTATGTTGAGCTCTGCAATTGGGCATGACAGACTCGACAGCAACGGCATAGGTCAAGGGAAACCACTCCCATCTTGCGTATAAACTAAAATTATCTGCTCTTGATTTAATGAAAAGGCCATGGCCATTGTTAGTCGCACGCGGACACCATTCGCTATTATCCTTTCCTTGATTATCCAAAAGGTATGTTGTTTCACATTTATTCCAACATTGAATTGGGTGGGAATAGTACTTTGTGATATCGACTCGATAGTTATGTGGTTCACTACAGCAAATAACAATATATCCGACATTAAGTCTGTTGTGCAATCTCCGTATTGTTGAGGTGTCGAGGCGAACCACAGTTTTATGCAAACAAAAAATATTTCAAAACGTAAAGATGATTATTTGCGTGAAACACCAACACTGACTTGAATGTCATTTTGTCACAGACTACAATGATCTTAGCTCCTTACAATTGGTCTGGACCAATTGTAAGTTTCGATTGTAACTTACAATGATCTTAGCCTACACAATTGCTTTGTGCAAGTGGATGGCGATCGTAGCCGAAGCCAAAGATCGCGATCTTACGGATTTACAATAATTGTAGCGCAAAGATTGTTCTGTGCAAGTGGGCCCAGGAAGATAGGTCATGCTGATACACTATTTCTAGTGATGTTATTCCCTCGACATGTTAATGAAGAAATGATAAAAACGGCTGTACATTTTATTCTCACCAGCATTATTTATACAAGACAGCAGAGTTCTGGATGACTAAGCACAGTAATCATTTCCATGGTGAAAGCATGATGGCACATACAGTGTCATAATTAAAAAAAGGCTTCTATTATATGACATATGCATGTTGTGTAATGCTCAGCAATATTCCAGCTATGGTAGCAGCTGGTAAAGTCTTGACCAGACACCTCAATGACTGATATTGTGAGATACGATGACAGGCACCCAAATCTTCAAGCCTGCCCACACTGCCCCATATTGCTGGGGACAAATTTGGTATTGCTGCAGAGGTGAAGCAATGAATATTCTAACACAGGAGTTACTTTTTTCTTCCTCCTCTTTCTTTCAGAGCCAGTGACACTGTAGCACCATTCAAGAAGTTGTAGAAAGCCAGTGTATTGGAGTCCTTGATGAAAATTCCCTGCAAAACAAGTAGATAATATGAAATAAAACCAAGTAACTTTTTAAACTTTTAATGGCCATGAACTGCCCTTTACTCAAGTCAAACTACATCCAATATTAACTTGTTGTATGTGTCACAGAATGAAGCACCTGTCATGTTGCTTGTTGTGTAAGGAGGTACCTCCATTCAGTGTGTGAAATAGCCACTGGTCTGCTAGCCTCCGGCCAGTAAATCGCCACAGTCACTGGCCCGACTGGCTGATAAATTTTCATGGGGTCATTTTGTAAATATATCACTCTCTCTGGCTTTTTAAGTCATAATACACTTAAATCATGCAAGATTAATGCCTGATAAAAAGTTCATCATATTAGCACCTTAATGTTGAAACACGTGTCTACATTCAAATTTCGGGCTAGTGAAATATTTTGTGAGCTAGCAACTTTCTGGCATAGTTAGCCCCCACCAGGTAGGTGTTTGTTGTGCAGGATTAGGCACCCAAGAGGTAACTTTATGTTGTTTGTTTCGGAGAATGAGGCACCCAAGAGGATGTTGTTTGTTTCGGAGAATGAGGCAGCTAAGAGATACCTCTGTGTTTGTTGTGCAGGATTAGGCACCCAAGAGGTAACTTTATGTTGTTTGTTTCGGAGAATGAGGCAGCTAAGAGATACCTCTGTGTTTGTTGTGCAGGATGAGGCACCCAAGAGGTAACTTTATGTTGTGTTTGTTTGCAGGATGAGGCACCCAAGAGGTAACTTTATGTTGTTTGTTTCGGAGAATGAGGCAGCTAAGAGATACCTGTATGTTTGTTGTGCAGGATGAGGCACCCAAGAGGTAACTTTATGTTGTTTGTTTCGGAGAATGAGGCAGCTAAGAGATACCTCTGTGTTTGTTGTGCAGGATGAGGCACCCAAGAGGTAACTTTATGTTGTTTGTTTCGGAGAATGAGGCAGCTAAGAGATACCTCTGTGTTTGTTGTGCAGGATGAGGCACCCAAGAGGTAACTTTATGTTGTTTGTTTCGGAGAATGAGGCAGCTAAGAGATACCTGTATGTTTGTTGTGCAGGATGAGGCACCCAAGAGGTAACTTTATGTTGTTTGTTTCGGAGAATGAGGCAGCTAAGAGGTACCTGTGTGTTTGCTGAACCCTAGACATATCTCTTGTTTCTAATGCAGGAGCATGGATGACTCACCTCATACTGCAGCTTTTGTTTGCCAGCCGGCATTCCTAGCGTCTCGTGCAGCTTGGCCTTGATCACAGACACCTGCACAGGAAACAACACTCATAAACACTGATTTCTATAAGGTCAAACTCTTTTCCACTCATTCAGAGAACAGCACAGTTTGATGAAAGAAAGAGAAAAGTGGCGTTTATTTATGTCACACAATTATTCTGTCTGTTCACCTAGCAGCAAATGGGTACCCAGTGGGATGATAAGTCATGTGACTATCAACCTTCTGGCGCCTCACAGGCAGCTTGGGTTATCTCAGGTCATAATCTGTCTGCGCTATGAGCTTGCTGCCGGTGTGGATTTAGAGCAATATAAATGGACTTATTATTATTAATTATAAATTATTTTAGTAAATGTAATGTAAATTTGTGAATATCTCAAGTCAAGTCATTTCTTTCATCTTATGGATACATGAGTAACTTCAAGTCATTTGGTCAAGTAACTTAGTGTAGCTTACGGAATCTGTGAGTGGTAATGTGAAGTCCAGCTTCTGTCCCTTGAGCTTCCATTCAGGCTTGTCTGGCACATTGGGCACAGCCACCTTGATTGTAACTGGACCCTGCAAACAACAGTCATGTAATACATACAGTTCATAAATTTACAGCAATGTCTTACTTGGATATGCGTAATATAGAACACACTTTATGGATAACAACTTCTTTTTATTCGTGAGTGCGACGTTTTGATACAGATTCTTGTACCGTTGTCTAGCATAATGGAACATGAAGAAGGGGGAAGTATATATATGCTGGATGTAACAATGTAACAAAGAAAACAACATAATTGGCTAGGCAGAAAGCTGATGAAGCCAGAGAGTAGACAAAGGACAGGCGTGGAAAGCCAATGATCAGACCTCTGTTACCAATTCCGACAGCAAATCAGCCATTTCCGACCACATCAAAGCAAGCCCCAATCATCAAATAGAGTGGTCTGACATGACCATTCTCTCTAACAAACAAACAGACTGCACTAAACGCAAGCTCACCGAAGCCATCCACATCAAACGCCAAAAGCCCACCATCAACCGAGACCAAGGATACTTCATTCCATCCGCTTATGATGCACTCATCCACCAAGCCCAATCTACTGTATAAACTCTGCTGTATAAACATCTCATTATTATTTGTGCATCACTGGCTTCCGCGCCTGTCCTTTGTCTACTCTCTGGCTTCATCAGCTTTCTGCCTAGCCAATTATGTTGTTTTCTTTGTTACATTGTTACATCCAGCATATATATACTTCCCCTTCTTCATGTTCCCTGTTAAACCCCAAACCATCATCATCATGTTCCATTATGCTTGACAACGGTACAATAATCTGTATCGAAACGTCGCACTCGCGAATAAAAAGAAGTTGTTATCCATAAAGTGTGTTCTATATTGTACTTCCCAACTTCTAAAATGCCACTCAAAGAAGTGGATATGCATAATATTAGTATACCTATCACACACAATACAATTTCCTTCTTCACTTTAAACACATAACACAGAAGATGACAATTTGCATCTTCTCTATCAAGGCACCTATTGCTATTGGTTACCAGAGCTATCTGTCCTTGATGCCCCAATGCCTTCTTGCTTCTAAGCATGTAGCTTGATGTCCCAAAGGGAAGCGGACAGGCCGGCCTGAGACTTGGGGTATCAGGATGAGTACATAACACATCCTGTCACTACATATTGCAGTGCTTATCAGTGCTCCTACAGTTGGGGGCAAGGCCTGCAGCTAGCAGTGTTTGTAACCAGTGCAGATCACTAGTAGTGTATCATCTGTCACATCCTTACTCAAACATGCTTCATGCCACATGCAAAATATCTGGCAAAAACCAGAAGAATTGGAACCCCACGTTGAAGACCAATCCCTCAGAATATATAATGCGATGCTGTGTAACACAAGGTAAACATCTTGAAAACAATTGTATTGACGATTGGAATGGTGTGGTCCCAACTGTTACATCCTCCACAGAGACATCTCTCAGATAGTTATTGGTGAAGCTATTATTCATTTGCCATATCTCTTCAGCCACTAAGCAGTATCTTAATATTTGTCACTGGTCTCCTGACTGGATTCCAGGGCCCTGCCTTAGTGTGGATAAGGAGGACCCAGTCCCTCGGGTTGGAGAGGATAAGGATGACCCAGTCCCTCGGGTTGGAGAGGATAAGGAGGACCCAGTCCCTCGGGTTGGAGAGGATAAGGAGGGCCCAGTCCCTCGGGTTGGAGAGGATAAGGAGGACCCAGTCCCTCGGGTTGGAGAGGATAAGGAGGCCCAGTCCCTCGGGTTGGAGAGGATAAGGAGGACCCAGTCCCTCGGGTTGGAGAGGATAAGGAGGGACCCAGTCCCTCGGGTTAGGAGAGAGGATAAGGAGGACCCAGTCCCTCGGGTTGGAGAGGATAAGGAGGACCCAGTCCCCTCAGGTTGGAGAGGGATAAGGAGGCCCAGTCCCTCGGGTTGGAGAGGATAAGGAGGCCCAGTCCCTCGAGGAGTTGGGAGAGGATAAGGAGGGCCCAGTCCCTTGGGTTGGAGAGGGATAAGGGGAGGCCCAGTCCTCGGGTTGGAGAGGATAAGGAGGACCCAGTCCCTCGGGTTGAGAGAGGATAAGGAGGACCCAGTCCCCGGGTTGGAGAGGATAAGGAGGCCCAGTCCCTCGGGTTGGAGAGGATAAGGAGGACCCAGTCCCTCGGGTTGGAGAGGATAAGGAGGACCCAGTCCCTCGGGTTGGAGAGGATAAGGAGGACCCAGTCCTTGGGTTGGAGAGGATAAGGAGGCCCAGTCCCTCGGGTTGGAGAGGGATAAGGAGGACCCAGTCCCTCGGGTTGGAGAGGATAAGGAGGACCCAGTCCTTGGGTTGGAGAGGATAAAGAGGCCCAGTCCCTCGGGTTGGAGAGGATAAGGAGGACCCAGTCCCTCAGGTTGAGAAGAGGATAAGGAGGACCCAGTCCCTCGGGTTGGAGAGGATAAGGAGGCCCAGTCCCTCGGGTTGGAGAGGATAAGGAGGACCCAGTCCCTCGGGTTGGAGAGGATAAGGAGGACCCAGTCCCTCGGGTTGGAGAGGATAAGGAGGCCCAGTCCCTCGGGTTGGAGAGGATAAGGAGGACCCAGTCCCTCGGGTTGGAGAGGATAAGGAGGCCCAGTCCCTCGGGTTGGAGAGGATAAGGAGGACCCAGTCCCTCGGGTTGGAGAGGATAAGGAGGACCCAGTCCCTCGGGTTGGAGAGGATAAGGAGGCCCAGTCCCTCGGGTTGGAGGAAGGAGGACCCAGTCCCTCGGGTTGGAGAGGATAAGGAGGCCCAGTCCCTCGGGTTGGAGAGGATAAGGAGGACCCAGTCCCTCAGGTTGGAGAGGATAAGGAGGACCCAGTCCCTCGAGGTTGGAGAGGAGGATAAGGAGGCCCAGTCCCTCAGGTTGGAGAGGATAAGGAGGACCCAGTCCCTCAGGTTTGGAGAGGATAAGGAGGACCCAGTCCCTCGAGGGTTGGAGAGGATAAGGAGGCCCAGTCCCTCGGGTTGGAGAGGATAAGGAGGACCCAGTCCCTCGGGTTGGAGAGGATAAGGAGGACCCAGTCCCTCGGGTTGGAGAGGATAAGGAGGCCCAGTCCCTCGGGTTGGAGAGGATAAGGAGGACCCAGTCCCTTGGGCTGGAGAGGATAAGGAGGACCCAGTCCCTCGGGCTGGAGATAAGGAGGTCCCTAAGGAGGGACCCAGTCCCCTGGGTCCCTAGGAGAGGAGAAGGATAAGGAGGCCCAGTCCCTCGGGTTGGAGAGGATAAGGAGGACCCAGTCCCTCGGGTTGGAGAGGATAAGGAGGACCCAGTCCCTCGGGTTGGAGAGCTTGAACATTTAGCCCTAGAGTAACTTCATTTCATACAATAATGTCTCAGCACAAACTTTCTTCAGAATACATTTCAGGGAGACTTGCAAGCATCCCTTATACCTGGAAGCTAGTGAGTGAACCACTAGGCTACAGATGTAACGAAGAACCACAATGCTTTTTATTTCAAGTACATGAGCCGTTTTAAGTCCATTTCCTAAAAACTCATGGAAAGTATGTTTGAAGATGAAATTGTTGATAAATATTGTTCCTGATTTTGGGGGGTTTACTTGTTAGATAATAATCATCTAAGAATGTAAACACACTAATTTCTAATTCCCTGGGCTCACATTCTCAGTGAAGACTGATGATTTTTGTCCATTTCATTATCTTGTCTTGACAGAATCCATTATGTGAAACGTGATCTACATCCTCTAGTTGAACTTTGGCTTCTGGTGTTCTGTTGATCTTTATATGGGTAATATTGACTGACTGACTGACTGACTGAGTTTGGTTTTACGCCGCTTTTAGCAATATTCCAGCAACATCACGGCGGGGGACACCAGAAATGGGCTTCACACATTGTGCCCATGTGAGGGTAATATTGAAGGCAAACATGGTCTCTCTTGGTCCCTCTGGTTCAATCCTGTAACTTCTTGGCTGGATATGGCTCACTTATGCATGGTCTACATGGATACATGTCCTTCTGTGTCATAATGCATTCAAGTGAAGTCCTGCTCACACAATGGTGTGCGCGCTCAGATAGCTACAGCCTTTGTACATGTCCCACACTTGCAATGCTATAAAGTGAGTGAGTGAGTGAGTTTAGTTTTACGCCACACTCTGCAATATTCCAGCTATATGTAAATAATCGATTCTGGACCAGACAATCCAGTGATCAACAGCATTAGCATCGATCTGTGCAATTGGGAACCGATGCCGTGTCAACCAAGTCAGGGATCCCATTAGTTGCCTCTTACGACAAGCATAGTCGCCTTTTGTGGCACACATGGATTGCTGAAGACCTATGCTACCCCGCATCTTCACGGGTCACAAAGCCATACAGATACTTCAACCTAATCAGACGAAGGAAGTAAGCCACAGATTCCTTTCAACCAGTGCAGATGATGTCAGGATCCCTTCTTGACTTGCCCAAATGACTAAAAATGTAAATGACAACACGGAAGTACATGTCCTCATGGCTCCTCATGCCATCGTCACCGCCTCCGTGGTGTAGTGGTTAGAGCGTCCGCCCGGTGAGCGGTGTAGTGGTTAGAACGTCCACCCGGTGAGCTGAAGGTCTCGGGTTTGATCCCCGACCGCATCATACCAAAAGATGTTAAAATATGGTACTTGTTGGTCCCTGCCTGGCACTCGGCATTAATGGGTACAAGGCAGGGGTGGAAATAACCCTTTGCCCAAAGCCCGAGTCCAGTGTTTTTTCTGTCGGGCAAGCAGATTTGTATATCACACTATACCAGTGTCCAGTTGATATTCCAATGTTAATTATGTTGTTTATTTAAAAAATCAACAAGAAAACGTCCGATATAGTGGAAAAATTATCAGGGCAAGCGATTTTACATGTGCCACTGTACCGGAGTACATTTGCAATTTTAGGGTTATTTCCATCCCTGCAAGGACTGGTCGGCTCGGAGTCAGTATAATGTATCTGAGTGGGATATTCATGCTTCACTGCGGCATGGTATCTCAGTGGGCTAGCACTATAAAACCAGCTTCAGTCTGGGCTAGTACAAGCAGCCACACATACACATACACACGCATGCACGTCGTCATATGAGCGAAATATCTCTCAAGCACGACGTTAAACCCAATTTCACCTCACCTCACCTCATGCCATCGTCAGGATAGCTGTGTACATATCTGCCAAGCTGTACACATATAATATATGAGTGATACTTGTCATCACCCTCAACAATTGCAATGAAACAACAAAATAAATAGGCAGAATGTTTTTGCCGGAATATGTTTTGTAGCCCCCATCTGTGGAACAAAGTACCAACATGTGTCAAGTGAACTAAAATTTTGCCAATGTAGTAATCTCCATGTAATATGCATGTGAACTTTCATTCATCAAGAACATTTAATAAGACAATGTTGAAGGACATAATTCCTGAAAAGCAACATATCTGTATACAATGTACATAAGTTTGAGAAATAAGTAGAAAAGTGACGGATCAAGGACAGATAACTCTGATTGGTAATCAAGTGCAATGATCAAAACCAGGAAATTGAAATGTATTGTGACACAAATAATTATGCTATAATTATCACCAACCATCAAGGATGTGCCAGTGCCTATCAGATATGAATGTTTGTTGTGTCTTCTGTAGAGGCATACCTTGTTCTTCTTGAGGAACTCCTCCTCAGGCATCAGGTTGTCTTCAGTTTTCTGCTTCTTGCTGGGGGGTTCGTCATCCATGGGACCGGATGGTGGGGGTGGTGGCCCAGGGCGATGAGGAGGGCCTGGGGGCCCAGGGGGACCTGGGTATCCTTGTGGGGGGCCAGGATGCATACCCATTGGTGGTCGCATGTGGGGCCCTCGCATGCCTACAACACAGTAACACAAGCTGTTATCACACATGTACCTACAGCACCAGTTGAAGCTTCACACAGATACTCCTGAACTGATCTCCAAGCAGTGGTTGTGGCCATCTCTTCATATTGGGTGATAGTTCTGTTATTGAACAAGACCGATATCTATGTATGACCCGTACACAGTAAAAACTCAGTCTCCGTTTGAAACAAACTGTACTTGGACAAAACACACATATATAGATACTGCTCAGTGACAGTCAGTCACATTTGACCCAGCATGGTCTAATGGCAGTTCACCTACAACTGACTTTGTAACATAGATCTCAAAGTTTGGGATTGTTATCAAAGTAATTTCAACAAACTGTGTTATCAGCTGCTTACTAAACATACTGGGAAATGACAGATGTCAAGCTTTAGCATACCTCCAGTTGAGCTAATAATCCGACATAACTGCATCAAGCTATTTAACATAAGCTGTACCAAGTGTTCTGGTGACAGCAGAAGCTGCATGAACTCACTCACCCATCATCATCGGAGGTCTGGGAGGCAGGACCATCACTCCTCCCGGGGGATGCATGGGGACTTGATGGGACACACGCATCTGCTGGGGTGGAGGTCTGTTGGGAGGCTGGGGAGGTCCTGGCTGTGAACCTGGGGGTGGAGGAGCGGACTTCGGGGGAGGAGGTGGTGGTGGGGCAGAACCTGCTTTAGGCATGGCAGGTCCAATCTTCTCTTTCTCTTCATCAGGCCTGAGTAGCATTATATAGGAAACAGGTCATGACTATGGTGAAAACAAGTCAAGTATGCACACAGCTGTCATTTTACAGGCTTGGGTTGTCATGTTACTTTTCTTTAATCAGTTAATTCTTCTATAAGATTATTCATATACTAAGTATCTTGTAGGCATCACATCATATTGTATTAGAGGTGATACTGATAGCTCCAGATGCCACAAAGACAACAAACATCACAGCAAATACCAGTAGAAGGCTGTACTTACAGCAGTCCCTTGACCTTGTGTATGGTGGCAATCTGCTCTTCAATAGAGATGTTCTCCCTTGCCCTCTGTGACACTTTCTCCATGGAGGCTGTGTGGCCGTCCCACACAATCTTCGATCGCTCCTTCTTGTCTTCCTCTCCGATCTGTATAAAAGCACATAGTTGTTAAACTGCTAGACACAGGAGATTCACATCAACCTCACACTAACCATGAAAGCACCTCAAAGGGCTACGTAGATGTATATTATAAATCTTATGTTTGTTAATAATTTCAATGCCAACTATAAGAAACATTAAATCTGAAATGTGTGTTTAATTTTATTCTATTGGTCCTGTCAATTTCCAATGGGTCAGACAGACATTTGAAACTTACAGGACCCAATGTCCTGTTACTCTGAAACACCATTCGTGAACACTGCAATGGTACTACTGTGTAATGAGAGACACTGAAAGTACCTTGGTTCAAGGTCTGTGGTGAACTGCACCATGTGCAAATCCCAAACAATCATAGCCAGTGTAGAAAGATAGCCCGTCCCAACGTCCGAGACGGGTGAATTTTGTGGAGGACGGGTTAAAAAAATATCTAGTCCGTCCTCATGTCGGGTCAATTTTAGCAAACCAATGACATATATATAATGATTATAACCTTTTTGAATATTTACTGCCGAAGGTGTTTTATTTATATTTGGAGGACAGGCTAGATTTTGGCAGGACTGGTAAAAATATTGACCTGCCAGTCCTGTGGACAGGCTAGATTTTCTACATCTTTCCTACACTGTCATAGCCCTTCTGCAGGTAATATTGATTCAACTCTCTGTTCAACACCTCAAACATTGAAATCTCCATCACGCGCATGAGAGCATCACAGACACAAAAATAAGAATGTACCATAGTCTGAAAATCTACTATGAACTGTTCAAATATATTGTTGAACTATGTATATTTGACCAAATTAGTATTGGAGTACATAATATGACATGTTCACTTCTATAACGTGACAGATTCCATTCCCCAATAGGCTACATACACTACAGGAGGCAATGCTACACTAAGTAAACAGAAGTCCATGTGTTTGTTGTTTTATCTAGATTGTCTAGTGTTGGTAGATTCTTCCATCCAAAGTGTTAAAGTGAAGTACTGTGAAGATCTATGACCCAAACCCTGAACTTGCAGCAGGTGTTTACTTTCAGAATGGGGAGGTGTAGACAGCTTGCATTTAGACAAAAGGTCCATCAGACACAGTGCAGAAGCATTTGCAGGATAATGTTAATAGTTGAAGTTCAACTCTGGCTATTACAGGCATCCATTTTGTTGGTTTGTTGTTTAACACTGCACTCAGCAAGTGTCCAGCTATATAATGGTGGTCTGTAAATAAGTCTTGACCAGCTTGACCAGACAATCCAGTAACTGACATCAGTAACAAGCATCAATGTATTACAACTGGGATACCTTGAGATGCATCAGCTATGTCAGCGGGCTTGACCATCCAATTCTGTTTGTCGCCTCTAATGACAAGCATGAGTTGCGGAAGATCAATTCTAACCTATATCTTGGGTTGATCTGACTTTAATGTTCCCACCTCTTAAATGAAACCCACTGGTAGTGCAGACTGCTACTTTAGGTATCCCAGCTATATACCAATTTCTAAACAAAACAGTAATTCCATATAGACATTACCTTTTTACCAATCTGTGTTTCCTCTGTGCCAACACCAAAGATATCAGTACGCCTCTCTGCGAGCTGCTTGAGGTTGGTGTCAATGGCAGAGCCAGCAGCGTACACCTCCTCCTGTTCCTTCATTTCCTCCATCTGCCTCTGTTTCGCCTCCATCCACTTGGGGTTGAGCAGCCCTATCCTCATGTGCTCTGGCACCTTGTGGGCAGGGATCTTCTCCCCTGTGATGGGTGACACCATGTACTGGTCTGGCCCACCCTCTGCTGTGACGGGGCGTGCTGCAAACATCGTCATCACCATGGTCACAAGTACAATTAGCTACATGCTATGTGAAAATGTTAAACTGTGGTGTAAAAAAAAACAAGCAAACCCGTGAAGATCTGGGTTAGAATTGATCACCCATGCTTGTCGTAAGAGGCGACCAATGGGATCGGGTGGGCAGGCTCACTTTGTTAACACATGTCATCGTATCCCAAGTGCGTAGATCGATGCTCATGCTGTTGATCACTGGATTGTCTGGTCAAGACTCGATCACTTACAGACCTCCGCCACATAGTTGGAATATTGCTGAGTGTGGCGTAAGACTAAACTCACACACTCACTCACTAACTCACTCATACAAATATACAAACAATGTCGGGGGAAGACTGGACCGTGGCTGCTTTGTCTTCATAAGCAATACTTAAAATCATTCAAAATAATCTCAAAAGTAAATATTGTTTTCTCAGATGATGGTATAGAATTAACAGAGAAAATATCGAATTTATCGTTTTAACATGCCTGTTTCACCTGCCCAGGAAAGGATGGAAGACAATGTTTGCCAAATGTTTGGTGCCATAAATCATATGAATGTACAGTCCCTAGTTTACAGTAAAACCCTCTAACAATTTACAGATATGTCCCTGTATAGCTTCTATGAAAACTGTCAGGAATCAGGGTATTTCCACATTTGATTTATGACATTAAGAAAGTCTACTGACATTACGAACAATGTATTATCTATTAATTAAGACTGTGTAAGATAAAAGTACAGTTCTTTCAAAAGCCCAGTGTCCTTCAATATGGAGTAGTATTGTCCACACAGAACCTACCCTTGGGGTTGTAGTCTTTCCTGATGATCACCTGGTCCGGTGTGGGGGGCAGTGGGGGTGCCTCTGATGGAGGGGTGGGGGAGGTGGCGGTGGTGCAGCAGCTTTAGACTTGGGTGGTCTGTCCATCACTTCCTCGTCTGAATCTTCCTCCATATCCTAAACACCAGATAAGTATGAACTAACCATCACCATACAAGGTTGGCTATATACATCATCAAACAAGGTTGGCTATCATACAAGGTTGGCTATATACATCATCAAACAAGGTTGGCTATATACATCATCATACATGGTTGGCTATATACATCATCATACATGGTTGGCTATATACTTCTGCATACAAGTATGAGTATGTCTGAGAAAAAGTTAATTGAATGGGGTGCTGGTTTCTGAATTGACTATAATTTGAACTTTGTCTTCCATTAAGAAAAAAACTGGGATTGGAGATAAAACCTATTAACTTGCCAGTTTGACTCACCTGAACCTGAATGTCGTCGTTCGACTGTCCCCCAGGGCCATTCTTCCCTGGACCCTGGTCTTCATCATCGCCTTCCTCGTCAGACTCCATCTCCATGTCATTGTCAATCTGCATCACACACACACATCATGACATCACATTCACAGCAATGCACATGCCACACGTCACTCCCATACATCATCATATCACATACACTGGATCATCATAGTACCTACACTGGATCATCATATTACCTACATTGGATTATCATATCACTACATTGGATCATCATATTACCTACAGGGATCGTCATATCACTACACTGGATCATCATATTACCTACACTGGATCATCATATTACCTACACATTGGATCATCATATTACCTACATTGGATGGATCATACATATCATCATCTACTACATTGGATCATCATACCTACACTGGATATCATATTACCTACATCTGGATCATATTACCTACACTGGATATCACATACATGGATACCTACATTGGATCATCCTACATATCACTACACTGGATCATCATCATATTACCTACACTGGATCATCATATTACCTACACTGGATCATCATATTACCTACACTGGATCATCATATTACCTACACTGGATCATCATATATTACCTACACTGGATCATCATATTACCTACATTGGATCATCATATTACCTACACTGGATCATCATATCATACCTACATTGGATCATCATATCACTACTACTGGATCATCATATCATCATATCACTACACTGGATCATCATATCACTACACTGGATCATCATATCACTACACTGGATCATCATATCACTACACTGGATCATCATATCACCTACACTGGATCATCATATTACCTACACTGGATCATCATATTACCTACTGGATCATCATATACCTACACTGGATCATCATATTACCTTCATACCTACACTGGATCATCATATCACCTACATTGGATCATCATATTACTACACTGGATCACCTACACTGGATCATCATATTACCTACATTGGATCATCATATCACTACACTGGATCATCATATTACCTACACTGGATCATCATATCACCTACACTGGATCATCATATCACCTACACTGGATCATCATATTACCTACACTGGATCATCATATCACCTACACTGGATCATCATATCACCTACACTGGATCATCATATCACTACCTACATTGGATCATCATATCACTTTTGGATTTACCAGATTAATTAGTGATTTATATATATATATTTGAAATAACCCTGACGGCAACTTTATAATGGCACTGAATTGTAATCCTTTCTACATTATAAATTATAAAAGTATATACACTGTCATAGACAAAGCGGGGTATTACTATACAAAAACATACTATGAACATAGCAATAAGTATATAAACCTACTCCAACATGGAGAAGTTATCAAAATACTACATGAAATATCAGTACTGGCAATAAGGCTAGACTTAAGCTAGGTATATCAATAGCCCTCTAACAACTGTAGAGTTTTAAAGCTGAATAATACATGTATGAATAGCATACATATTAATCTACGTAAGACTATCATCATATCACCTACTGAGGGATCATAATATCTGCTGCACTGGAGGACCATAGGACCTAAATGGCAGGATACCTGAGGAGAAAATTACCATACCGTGGTGATTATATCTCAGGTGGTGATTAGCAAACACCATGTCGGATTTCCAAAACATCCCTCCATGATGGTATTTAGTGACCGGTTACATTGTGGCTGCGTGGAGAGCTAAGGCTCTGATTTCGCGTGAGGATTTGTTGCTGCTCTTGGAGGGTCAATCCAGCCTTGTAGGCACAAGTATGACAGTTCTAATCCCATTTAGATAGGTGGTATAGGTGGTAAGTGAGAGACCTCGGTTCGACTTGTTTCGCCGCTAAAAGGGATGAATAATGCGCTTGAGATGTCGGCTGCCTTGGTTTGGAATGTCAGAGATGATTTCGAGAGCTCTGACTGGCATAGAGATAAGTCCAGGGTGCATCTTGAGATCGATCAGAGAACGGATAGTGCAGGATATGGAATAATCTGTCTCGGTTCGACCTGGCAATTGATTCTTAGCTTATGAAGAGTCCCATCGCGAAACCCATGCACTGTGTTTGTGATTGTCATCAAACTGTATCCTCTCGTAATCTAGTGCGTGAATTTCAGACATCCTGGCTGCAGTAGCTAGCTGAACAACAGGATAACCGCTGTGTGAGAAGTTCAAAGTTCGTTGAATCTAACGGTTCATAACTTTCACTTGTGAGGTGTTGAAGCACTATATTTAGATCCCACGCTGGCGCGCGGAATTTCACTTTCTGATCTTCCAAACGAAAAGAGCGTAGCAAGGCGAGTAACTCTGACGTCTTCGTTAACTTGAACTAACCGAACTAATCGCGGCAAGATATGTTGACAATGTCGAGCCCTTCAAATGTTTCTTTTGACGTAGGTAACACAGATAATCAGCCACTTGTGGATGTGTAGCATCTCTCGCTGTAAATCCCTTATTTGCTGCGTAGTTTTGAAACTTTGCCACTTGTCGTCGCTACAAGTTCACGAGTAGAATAGCGTAAAGCAAATGTGACTGCTTTTTGCCGCCTTGTAGTGGTGAATATCCTCTCTTGTTCAAACACACTTTAATACAGTCCATACGTGAAGTTGGTACACTTCTGGGTTTCGCGGCGCTTGTTTGGTGTGAGGATGTATTAGTAGATTCGAGCGCTTTGGTAGCTTTAGTGTTGGTTGTCCGATTTCTTGAATTAGAATTGAAACCACGCTCTGGCTGGCCAGTAGGGCGCGACCAAAGTTAGTTGTAGCCTCTGTGTTTGTCTGATTTCCTGTAACACTTGAGGGATTAGCACTGGCGGCGGAACGCGTACGCCGTTGAGGCCTTCCCAGGATATGCTTAGAGCGTCCGTTGCCCATGCTTGTGGATCCGGGACAGGTGATACTTAATGTCGTTAGCTGATTGTTGAAGCGAGTGGCTTAATAGGTGTACTAGCGGCGCTCCTATTTGTTTGATAATCTGTGCGAAGATTTCTGTATGGAGCATCCATTCTGTCGGTGCCGGTAGGCGTGGCGAGAGAGTCGCCTGCTAGTACATTCTTGGCTTCGGGAATGTGACATGCTCTGACATGTAGGTTGAGATCGTTGATTAGATCGAACAGTTGAAAGCATACAGTCAAAAGGCTTGATGATCTCGTTAAGCCTTGTTTGTTCACATAATACGCCACTGTTGAGTTGTCGGTATGAATCATCAGATGTGCCTGTCATAGAATGGTACTCCAATGACGACATGGCGTTGATTACCGCTTTCATCTCTAACATGTTTATATGGAGCTTGCTTTCTTGCTGATTCCATATGCCTGATGTCGTCCGGTTGGCGAGGATGAGCTCCCAACCTTGGAGCCGACGCGTCTATACATATAGAGATGGGTTTGGAATTCGGCTCTGTTAAATAGATGCCTTCGCGAGACATACGACCTCCTGGTCCACCATAGTAGATGAGGTCTGAGGTGCACCGGTAGACTGAATGGTTGTAGATCGTCAAGATGAGCGTTGATGAAGACCTGTAATGGGCGAACCGTAGCCTGCCTCTTAGTGTCAAATCTTGGGCTGACGTGAGGAGACCCAATAGACTCTGCCATTGTCGTAGTGGTAACGGGAGTAAGCTGGTGGAATGGTCTGTTGGATCTTGAGCCAGCGGTCTTCTGGAACGACGACACACGGTTGAGCGTCGTGTTAAATCGAATGCCTAGAAACTGCAGATCTTGGGCGAAGGTACTAGGTCCGACTTGAGTAGATTTACTAACCATCCCAGCTGTGTTAGTAGCTTGATGATGTAATTTAACTGTAGTTTGAGACGCTGTGGATCTTGATCTACTTGTATCCCACGTCGTCGAGGTAGAACACACTTTCGCGTAGCCCCTTGGACGATGTAGGTAGGTGACGGATGGGTTTTGTTACTCTTGTAAATAACCAGGGGCTGATGATATTCGAAATGGAGTACTTTCCATTGGTAATGCAGCCCGATCCAGTGTAAATCGTAAAGTATTTCTTGGATTCGGGATGTATCGGGATGTGTAGATACGCATCTTGTAGATCTAAACTGGCCATGTAATCCATGGGACGGATTAAGTGCTGTAACTGGGGTAGATGTATCATGTGAAACTTTGGTGGTTTGCGTAGATAATCTCTGTTGAACGTGCTCATGTTGTAGATGAGTCTGTATTTCTCCTTGGAGTTTTTCTTGGGTACTAGGAAAACTGGGGAGTAGAAACCTGGTCCGATGTTTACTTGATCTAGTACTTCTATGGCCTGCTTGTTCAGGAGGGAAGTAATAGCCTCTCTTAACTTTGGTAGTTGTTGTGTCTGGAAGTCGAACTTGTAAGGGTTGACTGTCAGCGGAGGCGTGGCCTTTAGTTGGATACGATATCCGTGATGAAGAATGTTGGAGACATATGGGTCTTGTAACATTCCCCAGTTCTCCCAGTATAGTTGAAGGCGTCCACCCACTTGTGACGGTTGTACTGGAACGGCTTGGGGTGGAAGACTCCAGTCGTTCCGAACCTGACTTTCAGCGCTTTATAGTTGCGGGAACCTCTGGGTGCCCTGCCTCTTCCTGATCCTCCTCTGTAGTTGCCAAATGGGCGTAATTTTAAAAGAATCTCTTCCCCTGGAACTGGCTATCTTTTTATCCCGTCAAGGTCTCTGTAATCCAGTGAATTTAGATTTCCCTGAATATCTTTGTGAAGTCTGTCTGATGACGCTGGCTAGCGTATCAGACTTTATCATAAGGACTTCTCTAGAATCCTTAGTGACTTCCTTGGAGACTTTCTCTATTCCTCCATCGAAGATGGATGGAGCAGACCACTGGGCTGTATAGAGTGGAGCTGTAAACTGCTCACCCCAGTTGCAGGAAGCGAGGAGGCCTTGACGACGGGCTAAGGTTAAGGCTGCTGAGACTGATGTGAGATGGTCCGTAAGGAACTGCTGGTCCTTCTTCTGCATAAGTAGGGCCGAGTAAATCATTCTATCATCTTCAGATGTCGTGTCACGAAATCTGGTGATAAGAGTCTCATTGATCGTTCTAGATCTATTAAGGCCAAAGAACATTAAGCCTAGTCATGGTTTCTAACTGAACCAACTTGCGATCGTCAATCTTGTAGTTCTTGTTCTTGACATCATTGATCAACTTGTAGTTGTCGTCTATGTCTTGTGCCTTGAGGAGCGAGTTCCATGTTGTGGGTTGAAAACTTGTTAGCATGGAACTGTGGTAAATGTGCTGTTTGGACTTTAGTGGCTTTGTGGAAGGCTGAGTCCAAATTCTTCGGTACCGCAGCAATCGGGTCGATCGGTGGTAAGGTGATGGCATCAGCATCGTCCTCCTTCATCAAATAAGTCTGCACTGAGTTGTTACTCTTGGAAGGTGAAGAAAGGTCTAGGTTGTTTACAATCCAGTATCGTATCTCAGCGTCTGAGAAGATGATGCCTCCATCGTCTTCTGTAATGGAATCGCCGATAAGAGGTTGATGCTCTTGTGATGGTGGTATATATGGTTTTATTGCTGTACAGGGTGACGATAAAGGAGACCTGCCTTGGGACTTCTGTGAAGACCTGTTAGGAGATCTGTGTGGAGATCGATGTGGTGATCTATGAGGTGATCGGCGAGGTGAACGGCGAGGCGAACGATATGATCTTGGTGATCGGCCTGATGAGCTGCGTCTTGACTTTCGCGGAGACCTGTGAGGTGAACGCTGATAGCTTCGCGAAGCCCTTGAGGAATCTGCAGATGATCGTCTGGACGAAGATGATTTAGAACCTGCTACTGGTGTCCTTCGTGAAGCCTTAACTGTGTCCGGTTCTGGGGAGTGACGGCTTGACCTTCGCAAAGGCTTTCGTGAAGTCGGGGGTTCCAAGTCTGACTCCAAGGACGACGTAGTCTTCCTTCTGGAATCTTTATAAGAGTGATGATCCTCCGAGTCCGGGGAAGGTGATGATCTTCTAACCCTTCGTGCAGGCTGTTCATCTGGGTCCTTCCTGGAGGTAGACTGTGACTTCCTTCGTGAAGGTGGCTTGGTCGTGGCCGCTACGTTGACGGAGTGTCCCTCTGGGCAGTCGTCTGCGTTGGTGCCTTCGTGAATGTCCTTCTCGGCTGGTTGCAGTCTATAACGGTCCTCCATCATCTGCATGATCTTCTGTATCATGTCGTCTGGGATGGTCTGCGACGGGCCCCTCAGAATGATCGTCGGACATCAGTGTAGAGACATCAGGCTGCCTGGCGATCTCTGCTGACGTTACTGTAGCTGACACCGGTCGCTTCTTGTGGCGTAGATCGGGTATGATGATCGGCTGATCGTCATACAGGCCCAGTTCAGCGGCGGGAAGAATCTCGGCTGAGAACGTTCTAGCTGGCTTCTTAGCTTTTCCCTTGGAGGTCGACGCTGCCCTGGGGGTACGGAGTTTATGCTGTGACGAAGTCGATGCCCTCTTAGACTTCTGCTGCGAAGACGGGATGTCTGGGGAAGCAGGTCGCTTCTTGGAGACGGCGGACTGCATCCCACGCCCCTCCTCCGAAGGAATCTCTAGCGGAACACCAGACGGGAGGGGGTCGTCCGACAGCAGTTGACTGGCTAGAGGGTCCGATGTATCGGCCATGCCTAGGCTTGTTTACGTGATCTATCTGCTGCACGTCTCAAGACGCAAAAACGATTTTTGTTAAATGCAGAAATGGATAAATTAATACAATAACTGCAACGTGAAGTAAACGCACAAGGCGTAGTACAGCTCGGACATATTAAATGCGGATCAGCAGCAGAAAAACGTAATCTACAAACAGTACAGATTTTCATTCACATAAACTTAGCTGAACAATCACGGAAAACCGTGAATAAACAGTAGAATTACGAGTAATAATCAATACATATTGTTAAAGGATACTAGCTACACCTCTTTAGTAAGGAATAAGAGGTAATAAACTAACAATAATCAAAGGATATAGTGTGCAGGGAGACACAGGCGCTCTCACATCCTGCTCACTGGGCGAAGAAGGAGAGAGTGAAGCATGTGGCCAGAGGGTGGCGCCACCTTTCCCGCGTTTGGGCCAAGGGAGGCAAGTCATGGTGAGTATTAATTAGTGATTATACATTGAAGGGAGCTTCAATTAGGGAGATACAAGTGTTTCCACTATGTTCGCAAGAAGAAGAAGACAAGCAAAAGAGCATGAGTCAGGATAAGGAAAAATATATCATTTGAACATGACATTCCTCATCTAACAACAAACACACTGATATAGCAGGATCTACAGAATCACAGTGGAGGAAGCATTTGTGTCAGATTTCAGACATGTGAGGATCATTTAGTCCCTTCTTCCCCATCAGCACTGGTATATGGTCCAGCAACCAGACCTGTCAGGACATGAGCCTGATTGCATGTACTCACCTCCTTCATGTGGCTGGAAGTCCACTGTCTCCACAACTACAAAGTCATGCCAGTCGATCTGAGCATAGGACACTGAAACACACAACCATGGATTGTCATCTGATCTGGCAGTCTGACATGCAACACACAAGACCCAAGCATATCTGGTCTCTTTCATGCAAAGTCACACATCAGTTTGGGAGAAAATAGCCCACAGGTGTTCTGAACTACGTGCGTGTTTCACAAGCCGTTGTATCACTGAGGGACAGTATTTCAGAGAACTGTAATGATGACTCAACAATATCACACAAGTATGATATGACTGCTACTGGTTTCATCAGGATAACTAGGGGATGGTGGGAAAGATGTCTCTGATAACAATCACAATGACCCAGGTAACTCAACTACCATATCCCTCATTAAACTGCTGTGATCCATGCGTTATCTGTCCCTTCTGGCTTTGACTTGTAGTCTTGGCAATTAGAGTAGTCATATGACATTCTTTCTTCTGTTACTGTACATAATCAATGATGATGTAAACATGGTAAAAAGGGGACATGAGTGAGTTGCCTCAGAATGTGGAAACACTGACCTCGCTCTCTTTCCACTTTCTCCTCCTCCTTCTTCTTCTCTCGGGCCTGGTACTTGGCCCACTCCACCCTGTACTTGACAGCCTCCAGCACCTGACAACCCACATGACAGCAGTGTTCACGAATGGTGTTTCAAAGTAACTGGACATTGGGTCCTGTAAGCTTCAGATGTCTGTCTGACCCATTGAAAATTCACAGGACCCAAGGAATAAAATTAAACACACATTTCAGATTTAACATTTCTTATAATTGGCATTGAAATGATTAACAAACATAAGATTTATAAACAGCAAACAAGTGTCACATGTCACATATAACAAATTCAGTCAAAGTCATCGTGAAATATACAGTCAGACACTGGGGCCAGCGGGTTGTAGACTTCTATCAGACCTTTGCCAAATCTACCGGATTTGTCAGAGGGTCAGACGCTATTCGTGAACACTGGACAGTCACTACCGGCCAACACACATGACAGTCACTACCTGCCAACACACATGACAGTCACTACCTGCCAACACACACGACAGTCACTACCTGGTACTTGGCCCACTCCACCCTGTACTTGACAGCCTCCAGCACCTGACAACACACATGACAGTCACTACCGGCCAACACACATGACAGTCACTACCTGCCAACACACATGACAGTCACTACCTGCCAACACACATGACAGTCACTACCAGCCAACACACATGACAGTCACTACCTGCCAACACACATGACAGTCACTACCTGCCAACACACATGACAGTCACTACCTGCCAACACACATGACAGTCACTACCTGCCAACACACATGACAGTCACTACCGGTCAACACACACGACAGTCACTACCTGCCAACACACAGTCACTACCTGCCAACACACATGACAGTCACTACCTGGTACTTGATCCACTCCACCCTGTACTTGACAGCCTCCAGCACCTGACAACACACATGACAGTCACTACCGGCCAACACACATGACAGTCACTACCTGCCAACACACACGACAGTCACTACCTGCCAACACACATGACAGTCACTACCTGCCAACACACATGACAGTCACTACCTGCCAACACACATGACAGTCACTACCTGCAAACACACACGACAGTCAGTACCTGCAAACGACAGTCACTACCTGCAAAAACACATGACAGTCACTACCTGCCAACACACATGACAGGCACTACCTGCCAACACACACGACAGTCACTACCTGCGAACACACACACGACAGTCACTACCGGCCAACACACACGACAGTCACTACCTGCAAACAACAGTCACTACCTGCCAACACACACGACAGTCACTACCTGCCAACACACATGACAGACTACCTGCCAACACACACGACAGTCACTACCTGCCAACACACACACGACAGTCATTACCTACCAACACACGAGTCATTACCTGCCAACACACACGACAGTCACTACCTACCAACACACATGACAGTCACTACCTACCAACACACACGACAGTCACTACCTTCCAACACACATGACAGTCACTACCTACCAACACACACGACAGTCATTACCTGACAACACACACGACAGTCACTACCTACCAACACACACGACAGTCACTACCTGCCAACACACATGACAGTCACTACCTGCCAACACACACGAGTCACTACCTGCCAACACACATGACAGTCACTACCTGCCAACATACACGACAGTCACTACCGGCCAACACACATGACAGTCACTACCTGCCAACACACGACAGTCACTATCTGCCAACACACGACAGTCACTACCTGCCAACACAGATGACAGTCACTACCTGCCAACACACATGACAGTCACTACCTGCCAACACACATGACAGTCACTACCTGCCAACACACACGATAGTCACTACCTGCCAACACACACGACAGTCACTACCTGCCAACACACACACAACAGTCACTACCTGCCAACACACATGACAGTCACTACCTGCCAACACATACGACAATCACTACCTGCCAAGACACACACGACAGTCACTACCTGCCAACACACATGACAGTCACTACCTACCAACACACATGACAGTCACTACCTGCAAACACACACGACAGTCACTATCTGCCAATGCACACGAGTCACTACCTGCCAAGACACACATGACAGTCACTACCTGCCAAAACATACGACAGTCACTACCTACCAACACACACGACAGTCACTACCTTCCAACACACACAACAGTCACTACCTACCAACATACACGACAGTCACTACCGGCCAACACACACGACAGTCACTACCTATGAACACACACGACAGTCACTACCTGCCAAGACACATGACAGTCACTACCTGCCGCCACACGACAGTCACTTCCTGCCAACATACATGACAGTCACCACCTGCCAACACACCTACAGTCACCACCTGCCAACACACACAACAGTCACTACCTGCCAACACACGACAGTCACTACCTGCCAACACATGACAGTCACTACCTGACCACTCTGTGTATGCTAGTTTATGATTACAGGTTACATAGCCCTACCTCTTTGTAGCTCTCAGACTCCTTCGCAAGCTTTTCCTTCAGGTTTTTTGGTGGGATTAGGATCTGCAAAAATGAACACACATACAAACATTGTCAACAAGACTTTCTTCAAACATATTCACAACAAATCATGAGAAACAGGATTATTTTAACATACTGTAACTCACATTCACATCTTTCTGCATACTGTAACTTTGGAAAGATGCCCTAACAAATGCTTCTTGTACGAAAGCCTTTACAAAGTTGATAAGCAACCATGGTACTGACACAATCCTTGTTTATGAAAGCAACATACACAAACAATCAGATTACCGAGGCCAAAGCCTAAAAAAACCTGTAACAGCAAACAAATGTTTGAATTTGTCAGGTGAAGGTCCATAGGCAAAGTTGCTTGACAACCTTAGTGTACTGCTCCACAAGCTTAGTGAAGTAGTTGAAGAGGCTGTGCTGGGGACGTAGGAAGTCGAACAGGTAGTTGCGTTGCTCTCTCTGCATCACAGTGGTGAGGAACTGACGGCCATTCCGGGCCACAAACTGGGCTGTCAGCTTCACAACATCTCTGTAATACGAACCATGAAAACATATCTACATAGGTGCATATATGTGCAAAGTGAGGAGTTCACTTGAATAGTATTGTTGGGGGACTACATAACAACAAATTAAACAGTTAATGTCATTAAAACAATGCTATGGACATATTCCTGATGAGATTTGTATCTATGGAACCAGGTTGCAACAACATAGCAAGTTTGGGTAGCTTGGTTTCAGCAAATAATCTAGGGGTAATAAATCCTTAGATGTGTAGGAAGATGTTGAAATAAGGTGAAACATGTGAAGTGAGCTGGTTAAAGGATAATGCTAAAAGACAACTATTTCATTGATTCATTATATACAAGAGAAATAATTGGTTTAGTCATCTTCTGATTTACTTCTTTTAAAACAATCCAACATGAATTGACATGTTTACTATAAACCTAGAAACATAATTATACCATACGCCTACTGCACACAGCAGGCATCATTCTCTTCCCACAGAGGTTACTCAAGTCATATCTTCCCACGTATCTCTGTTCTAATATGACCCTTTCATGGTACGAGTGTTCAGGAGTTGTGATTGATTGCAATCAAATTTAGTTGTGCAATCAGCGACGTTGTTTCAAAAGTGATCATTCGAAAAGTCTTGGTAATTTCCATATGCTTCGGGAAAACTAGAACCTCTTCCCCTGCACATTGCACAAACGTGTAATGGCGGATCAATGGCGTCTCCATCGCCCTCTTTGACAACGGACAAGATAGCCATTAAATGTCTTGTGTGTCACATCAAAAAAACCATCTTGTCAATTGATTCCTGCACTCTCTATTGCTAGTTTCTGATTTTTAGCTAAACATGAAATACCGAATCTATCCTCACATGTTGATCTACTAACTCCATGGGGGCCGCCATATTGGATCTAGGTTGATGTTCTGATTGGATAGGAAGAAGGGAGATAGTTCATGTTGTGATTTTTTGCTGCTAGGGGATTTTACGAGAACTGGTAAATATGGCTGCTTTAGAACAGAGGTACGTGGGAAGGAATGACTTGAGTAACTTCTGTGGGAAGAGAATGAGTAGGCATGAGAACAGCCGATTTCAATTTTGGGAGGAAAATTATAATAAGTGACATTGCCCCTGAAAATGTTAATGCAGATTTATGCTGATCTAAAAAATGACCCAAACTGATATGTAAATCCAAGAAATCCGTGAAAATTCTCATGCCTGACACAGGTGAGAGCTAGTCAATGTGGGAACTCACAGATCGTAGGCTGAAATAGAAGGTGGGTCAGCCACAAACTCAAACTCAGGCGGGGGATCTTTGGGCACAAACACTTCAGCTATCTTCGGGTGCTCTGGAGGGGGCTTCAACGCACTCGACAAGTTCAACTGTTTGGTTGGAAAGGTGTACAATGTCATATGTGTCAGTTATAGGGTCATTATTGATTGCCTTGATTGATTCATTATGCTCAGATGCACAGAAAGCTGCACTCTGGATAGAAGTCACTAGCTACTTTGATTATGTCTGTAACACAATTAGCTTTCAACCCTTAAAATCATATGTTTTGGAGTCCCAGACACTTATTTTAGATAAAGTTATAACAACTCTAAGACGTACATCTCGTGGAGTTAGACAAAGTTTAATTTCACAATTTTCATGTTCATGATTTCAATTAAAATGTTACCACATACCTTAGGTGCCACGGGTTCCTGACCTGAAAAACAGAAACAACAATATAAAAAGTGTGATTAGGTATGGAAGACTGCTGAATAACACCTTCCCTTAAGGTTGTGCATGTTGCTTCAACTAGTTGGCACAACTCATAAGCAATCAGTTTTTTAACTGAAATTCTATACAACTTGAAGTCTATCTGGTGCATCCTTAGACATAAGTCATGATCTATATACCACACATGAAATTGTAAGACTAAATATTTTACAATTTTACAAAGAACTGTTTGGGAGAACATATTTAAGCTATATTAACCAGGTTAACTCAAATAATATACCCAAGCTAGAACTGTCCCGTATGGAAATATGGCAGGTCCTGTGTTGCACAATTCATTTCTAAGAAGTCGCATACAAGTGAGAGAGACGGCGAAGAAATACTTACCTTTGCCCTCTTTGAACTCTTTCACCTTATACTGGTAGTATGCATGATATGCATCATTGGGGTTGAGGAAGTTAAACTTGGGGTTGTTAACTTCATTCTGGCGAATCCGGTTCTCGAACTCAGGGCCATTTCTTGCAACAAAACTAGCTGTCTTGTCAACAATGTCTGGAATTCTAGGTTAAGAAATAACACATCATCTGGAAGATACATACATGAATTCACTTGAAGAAAACAGGTCAGTGAATTATGAATAACTATTTGTCGTGCATGTGACACAAACCATGAGCAACCTCTACTAATATTGCTAATATATCTACTAATATATCAAGAATCGACAAATATAGTGCACAGTGAGTTTTCACAGATTGAAACCAGCATTATGTAGAAAGCATTGTGAACTCTGCAGCACTGCCCACATTTTCTCTAACATATTATAAATACAAATGACTATATTCAACATGTTAAATGATCAGCGCACACCTTGCACTAGGTGACCATGCTGTGTGCAGAACCTCCTTCAGCTCCATACAAGGACAAGGAAACTCGAAGAACCCTGTATGGGGGAAATGCTGTGAAACTCTTCTTGATCATCAGCAGAGCATCATCAGTTTCTAAAACCACTGATGAATACTACTTTTGTTTCATTCCCTCCACTCTGTACACAACATTGTGACTTTGTTTAGGGTGGTATGGTTTATTTCAATGAATACTAGATTATCTATGACCAACTCATACTTACAATTCTCATTAGATTCATACCTGTACTGGAGAATTCATACCTATTTTGGGTGGGCACACAATAATCCCACTGGGACAGAAATACCTCGGACAAAAACAACCTAGGATAAATGACTCCATGACAAAAAGCCCTTGCAAAATTCCACACTTTGGATAAAACACCTTTTGAGTTGACATGTGATAACATGATGTTTTCTAAGCAATTCCACCCACTGCTAAATGTTGTTTCAGAGAATTGGGTTAAATTGGTCACTTCCTCTTATGTTTGATATTGTTGGACAGGTACTCTTTGTGGCATATCAGCGAACATGGTGTGGTGACAAGTCATTGCCAAAGTTTCTGACCGGTATTGGACACAATATTAGACTTGTAGGAACTGTAATGCATGTATGAACTGGATTATGTGCTTGATTTACATTTGTGAATTATGTGCTCTTATAGTTATATATGCATCATCATGATGCTAATGTTAAAACTTATAATATACGTTAAATAATATATTCATGTGAGAATAAATTCATGTGCTGCAAAAGATTTGTTGGTATTCTATCATATCTTTTCATTAAAGACCTTTTTCCTACCCATTGAGGGTTTTTGTCATGGGGGTATTTAACCTAGGGGGCTTTTAAGTCCCTATGGGCCTATTGTCCTACCACTCTATTTTGGAGCATTTGAACCTTGGACAGCCTGTACTAAAATTTACATGACCTGCAAACACTTTTTGATGCATACCCATGTAAGGAGGACATATATCCCAACACGAGCTGAATTCGACGTTCTGGTGATTTCGACGATTGCATTGCACACGCTATATCGGGGGAGTATGTGTGCGATCGGAGTGCACAAACAGTTTCACTGGTAGGGCAGGTGCCCAGTTGCTGTGGTGAGAAGTTTTATTGACAATGGAAATTGGGAAGTAAAGTTATATAAAAAGCAAACAAACATCAATATCATTTACCCGAGATCGTTTATACCACTTCAGATGCAAAATCAGTTGCCTTTGCCAAGGGCAAAAAATAGAAAGCGAAAATTCAGTTAGATCAGTCGTCTGCTGGTGACAGACAATATATAAATAGGAAGCCACGTGATCACAACACTCCCTCGCAGTGCGGAGCAAAAAGTATGGCTCATCGTCGAAAACCCATACAAAATACCTGCATGTTACGAGCGGCAACAGTTTCGCTGATACGATGCCATCAACACTATTTTTGTAGGGAACACTTGATATTTTTGTGTGAAATAGATGAATATATCCTTTATCACTCAAGGTTAGTAAAATAAAAACTTTAAATGGTATTACAGATAAAATAAACGTTTTTGTCTTACATTGTCGAAACCCCCTGACACCAAGATACTTAATTGCCGAAAACAGGTTGAATTAACCATAATAGATTGTATCAAACAACAAAGATAGATTTTTCTTATAAATTATTGATCACTTACTCCTGCACTTTGATAGCAGTTTATTCTGAACACTATTACTTTTCCAACAATCATTAATACCGTGCAGTGGTCTCGAGTGATCAATATCTGGAATTCTGTGGGTACGCATATGCACTTTAGGGTACGAGGTTCCAGTATGTACGGGTTGTCCAACATTTGAATACGAGTCCGCCATGTAAAATTGTGGGTGCAAATTCCACATTTTCTCTCGATCTTCATGACAGTGAACGCCATCACAGGCCCAAATCGCTTGTTTTATTTTTGTATTATATCTCAATACTGACACAACACAGTCTGTGGTTATCTTCGTCCCGTTTTGTGGTTGAAAGTATAACTTCAATAAGGATACTTCTCACTTCTGGAGGAGGGTAAATAATGCCAATGACAGGTTTACTGACACTCTGTTGTTGGCCTTGGGTTTCGCCATCTTCAACAGGAGGTCTCTGAACCTCGGCTGTTGGCATGTTGAGTTTTTGTCTCTCTGTATGGGAAAATGTTAGTATTCACTGTCTTCGTTCAATTTTCGTTCCAATATGGCGTACTTTTTGTGAAGGGAGGCAACTCTGCACAGTCCAAATATATCATGCAACAACTATTCATATGTTTTTAAAAAACAACTGTTCCGGCAAAACAAAAACGCATATCCCGATATCTTTTCGGAAAAGGTATTAATATCTTTTACCTACGGTACGAATATCTTTGCAAGAAACATGCTACAGAAGTCAAACTTTACATAGTGGTCTGTTGTCCTCGTTTTACGATCGCGTAGTTCAACAATTATACTAACTTGGTGTTCAGAAAATAGTATTCGCACGTATCTCGCACGTCAACATGAGACTTGGCGTGACTTCCGGTGGATTTTTGTTTACCCGCTGCTGTGGACGCCGTTTCTTGACATGACTGATGAATAACTAGATATGCCGATGCATTCAAGTTGACTTTCTTTACTTGTTGTTGACACAGGAACGAAGTCTTCAGGTACTGTTGCAAGCTCTGTTATTTTATGTTCTTCTTTTGTTTAAGCTATACTATGTCTGGCGTGGCATGTTACTAGGGAAAACAACTCACTACAAAATTAGCACAGATTAAGATTAGACCTTCAAATAACTACAACTTGTTTCCAAAGTAGATGGTAATTGTTCCAAAATGAAAACGAATACACAATTTAGATAAGACCCATACGCAATTCCCTAATCCATGATTTATTAATGAGACTAATTTGGACAAGAGCGCATCAGAACATACGTTATGTGGCGATAATGGGCCGTGTGTGTTTTTTGGTTCACAGATCTCTTGTGCCTCTTCGACTTGTAAGTGTAGTTAGTTACACTTTTCTTAGCCTTTGCGTTGACTCTCTGATCAAGCACCCAATCACAATCCACTTGCCGATCAAATAACCCTTTACAATGCTCAGGGTAAGGTATCCCAGTTTCACCTGTCTTCAGCGACGTAACAGTGATTCGCAGTACATATGTAACCATGCTATCATAATAAAAATATTTTACATTCAAGACAAAGTATGTTAGTCAAGGTGTTTTCTCTTACCTTTTTTTATGATTCTCTCGGCATCATCGGTTTAACAAGGCCATCACGACCATAATGTTCCATATTTGGCAACTTGAGCATTACATCACCAGTTTTCTGTGATGATGTTATACACAAAATAACTATGGTGTTCCAATGTTGATATATTTCATCAAGGCAAATTCATATCTTCAAGTCACTTGTAAAACTTTAAGAGTGAAATCAAAATATCAGTTCAGCAATTTCAAATACAGATAACAATGAAATGAAAACCTGTTGATGATACACTGTTGATGATACACTGTTGATGATACACTGTTGATGATACACTGTTGATGTTGATGATACACTGTTGATGATACACTGTTGATGATACACTGTTGATGATACACTGTTGATGATACACTGTTGATGATACACTGTTGATGATACACTGTTGATGATACACTGTTGATGATACACTGTTGATGATACACTGTTGATGATACACTGTTGATGAGTTGATGATACACTGTTGATGATACACTGTTGATGATACACTGTTGATGATACACTGTTGATGATACACTGTTGATGATACACTGTTGATGATACACTGTTGATGATACACTGTTGATGACACAGTTGATGATACACTGTTGATGATACACTGTTGATGATACACTGTTGATGATACACTGATACACTGTTGATGATACACTGTTGATGATACACTGTTGATGATACACTGTTGATGATACACTGTTGATGATACACTGTTGATGCTTTACACTGTTGATGAAAAATGCTGTTGATGTACCTAACACTGTTGATGGTACACTGTTGATGACACACTGTTGATGACACACTGTTGATTGTACACTATGATGACACACTGTTGATGTCACTATGATGAGTCACACACTGTTGATCATGTAATCTGTACATATTTATATATTTTAAAAACACTGTTATGCATTACACTGTTGATGGCCAAATCCTCCATTTTCATGATGTACATATGTTGCATGATTAAATGTTGATGATACACTGTTGTTGCTTGTTGATGATACACTGTTGATGATACACTGTTGATGATAGCTTATGAATGTCATCCACTCTTCCACTGGGCTTTGATCACAATGGGGACAGAAAAATGCTGCATGTTGTTGATGGGGGCAGGGTGTACAAGTCCTTTCCCTTTTCGTTTAGATGACCTGGATGATGTGGACAACAATGTTGTTATGCTTGATTGTTTCTTCCCCTTACCGACTTCCTTATCAGACTTAGTTTCTTGTGTTCAGCTATCCTGTCTACAACTATCTGATCTGTGATAACCTTCCCAGCCAACGATTTTACTGATACTGTTCCTTGGCTTGTATGCTTGAACATTTCTCAAGACTTCTCCAACCCCGAGATTCCAAGAATGTCCACGCAGTATCCAGTCTGTTGTCAGTGTCCTGAATGAGCACACACCTGTTGAACTTGAAACCGCAGGTGTTCGTCTAGAGAAAGAGCAAGTCATCAATCACTTCGGGGTTGAGAGGGAAAATTCCTGATTTTGTGAACGATGACAAAACGTTAACAGGAGTTAACGTTGAGTTGAAAACACAACATATATCATTCTTTCCGATAGCTTTTCCAGTGTTCATTTTTAAGAATGAATGACATGATCGTATCAGTGTCATCTCGAATGGCCCATAACATCCAATGTCCAGTGCCTGTAAGAGGTGGCTTGTATGACGGGGAAGAACAAATAGGAAGATATGTTTTTGCTGTGCCCATTCTATTAACCCATTCAACACCGTAAGCCGGAAAACCGGCCAAGACGTCCCCAGTCCCCAGACACAGGAGGCAGGTAAACCCGCCAGGCAGTAGTTGCATCAAAATGTTTTAGGAACCTAACTAACATATGATTCATTTATCAAATTTTCACAATGTCTGAAAATGCTTAGTACATTTCAAATGACCATATATTATTGACAAATTTGAATTATAAACTATTTTTAGCAATGTTATTGAGAAAAGCGATTCTCTGACACATGCTTTAGCAATGGGTCCACATAAAAATTATCAAAGAGCAAAGTAACGATGTTTCAAGGAAATAATGAAACAAATTGAATAAACTGAAGAATAGAATCAACAACAGTACACATACAAGTTGTCAAACGTACATTATAACTTACTATTTCGATCTCTGATCCAGAGCGATTATTGTTTCCAGCCAACAGTCTAATTACGAAACCTAGCTGCAAACTGGTCAGCCTCTGCTCCTTTGACTGTAACGGACATGGGGACTGGGCTACTGTCCAGAATTTCTTCAACCTAATCAGTGGGACATTAGGAAGGGTGGATGCCCATCAGATGCCGTTGTTTGAAAATATCCCCGGTAGTTCCTGTCTGATTGTAATAAAGTATCCCAGCAGTGTAGGCTTTTTCAGATTTTGAAATGTTTGGATGGTATAGTGACTGATCCAATTTGATCCTATTCCTGTGTTTTTTACCTCATTATTTAATAAGTGAAAATATTATGTCTATTACGTATGCTATGATATCAGAAACACACATTTGATATATTTGAATCCATAAACTAAACAACCTCACTTTGCCATTGCAAAATAAATCTGAAATTTTACTTAGGTACAGTTTTTAACTAAGTACACAGCAAATGCTTATATATATTTCTTATGTAACAATGAAGTTCCGTTCGTATCCTCAAAACAGTGTCTGCCCATAAGGTTTTTTTTTCAGGCAATCGAACTTGCATGCAATACAACGATTACTACTCTCTTGCTGTTACCCTCGTTTGGTGGTAAACCTACTCGTTATTTGTCATCATTCACTTGATGGTCAGTTAATGAATTTATAACAGGTATAATCCACCACTGAGATAACCCGACAAAGGTTCCCATTTGGAATTTCTTGTGTCTGGAGTAAATACCCATCATTATATATGGAGGTCTGATGTGGCAAATGTATTACATCTTATGTAATATGCGCATGGAAGTGCAGTAAGAGGAATTATCAGCTGAGTTACAAAACAAACATCGATCAAAAGATTAACCGATAAAATGCTGATTGATTAATTGCTTTTATCCTGCACAGCGGATTTGTCAAAGGTAGTGTTTATGCTTGTAGATTTACTAATCTATACTGAATACACCCGGTCGTAAAGTCTTTTTGTAAAAACAAGGTCCTTCCTTCAAAGGATTAACCGCCAATACATTGATTGATTGCTCATTATTGGCTAAATAAATTACTTTTTTATAGAATGGCGGACATCATGCAATTAGTTGCCAGGTGTGCTATCTTGGGTGACCAATGGGACTATACACCCATGTGAAAAACCTGAAACGATAGTTCCCTTTTTCGCATATAAGACTGTTAAAAGGCACATGACATGGAACAGGATACTTTGTCAGCTGCAGATGAATGGCATCTCATTCCTTTATGTGGATATTGATGAATACATTCCCCGAACAAGGTAATAGCCTGATATTGTTGCTATAACATTAGTCTGTTTTAATTTTAATATCTGCATTTAGTTTATATTTTTTTGTTATGGCATTCAACAGAATCTTTTTTTTTGGCCGTGAATTGTATTGAGACACACAAAATACACTAGGCTGCACTCAGGGCGTGTGTGTGAAATATGACACACGTTGGCAATCTATAAAATGTCTAGATATTACAAGCCTGTTATAAATTCACTAAGTATAAGCAGATCGTGTGCATTTTATTAAGTTTCAAAATGCATACAAATATGATAATAAACTAGTTAGGATTATAAGACAAAATATAAAGACGTACATTGACTTCGTTATTTCAGTCCGAACATTTTTTACCACTGGCCTGATGGGTTAACTTAAAATGCTTTCATTTGTTATCAAAATAATGCCATTTAATACAACATTCAGATTGACTAGTAGTGAACCCAAGCTCACTACTCTCCCCAAGATTCCCCATGTACTTAGTTAGCCTTACTTTCAAAACAATGCTATTGTATCAGGCTTCCTGCCAAATTCAAGGTCAATCTATTTCTTAAATCAAATTCTACATCCATTTACGTTAACATTTTCTTAAAGTCAGCATTACTATGAAATCAAAATTTTACATCAAAATCAGCATTTTGATCAAAGTGAATTTTGTTTTTAAGAAACCCCATTATTCATCAAAGTCTACATAATTTTACAACAAAATCAACATAAGATTATCGACTAAAAAAGATTTCATCTTTGTTGATCAGTCTATACTTATACTATCAATTGCACATGAGGGTGGCGCAACAGAGGTAACAAACCAGTCATGAATTCTGGGATATCATCCGGGTACTCACTGTAGAAAAACAATAACAAAAGCAACAACCCATCCACGGAAATTGCTCTGGATCAGTGGCCCTTTAACATGTTTAATGCTAAAATATATGCATGAAACTTTCATGTCACAGGTCACAACCTAGCATGATACGTCCACCA